TTTTTTTGAAAATTTTGGCCCATTTGATCTTGAAAAAAAGGTCAAAGGTCAAATCCAAGGGCATATTTGAAATCTACACATATGACTTTTGGAAAGCCGTCTGTAGAAATTTTTCCCATAACTCCTTCCGTAGGGTAGATAATTAGCATTTAATTTTGCCATTTTTAGACAAGGGTGCATTGCAATGAGTGACACACCTAGACCCCAATACTGACAAAGCCCAAATTTCACGTGGAACGAGTTGAGATTATAGGTGACCTAAATCCAAGAGATGGGTACGGGGGCCCTTACCGTCTAGGAGGAGAAGCGGTAACGGTAGCCGTCCGGCGGAGCCAGCGGAACGATCCGGACGGGACTAAAACCATGTGTACCGCCAGCGCCTACGCTGGTGGTACAATTATAGAGGAAACTGAAGGAATCCTGGTATTTTAAGTTGAAATTACACAAGCATATCTTTCAGTTAAAAAAAGATCAGTAACTTGGAATTGAGAAAAAGAACTTGTTCAAACCCAGAATCTATGAGAGCAATCACAACCAGTTGATCTGCAAACTAAATAGTCCATGGATCAAATATGGCATGACCTACTTGAAAGCATGTGCCAAGATTTAATTGCTCTGCCCCTGCTGGTATGATGTGCATAGTGGATGCAGAATCCATTACATTATTTTTAGGGGAATATGCGTCTTTCCTTCAGGTGAACGCCACATTTGATCAGCAGACTAGTTAGTCCTTGGATCAACTGGTAGTGAATGCTCCCTAAAATTCAAAAAGATCAGCAACTGGGCACAAAGGAAACAAACCTTTATCCAGAAAATAGTAAAAAACACCAAGATAAGAAGATGGTGCATATACAAGTCAGGCATATCTTAAGGAAAGAAAATAGAGATAGCCTAAAGGGTTTTTTCCTTGGGCATCTGATGACAATTGAAGTAGAAAAAGGCCAAGAGAAACCTAGAGCGAGAAAGCAGAAAGAGAGATCTGGAGCTATGAAATGGGGTGGCCAAGCTGGAATACAGTAGACAGGCCAGAGTAGGGACAGGTTGGAGTGGAGAAATATGTGCCTTGCTTTGTGCTCCACTAGGAGCAAAGAGAATAGATAAGGTAATTTAAACATCATATCATTAAATGCAAACTCTTAATAAGTCCACTAAGATTATGTTTTGGAAGGTTAGAGTGAAGTCATTCTTACATACAATTGCTTCTGTTTCAAGGGTAAACCTTCTTACCATCCATACCACATAGGATAAATTGGCCATTCGTCTTGAAACTGGATCCACATAAACTTCACTCAACAAGAGAAAGAACCAGAACAAACAGGTCAAGGCCTCCAATACAACAAAGGCATAGAGCCACTCTTTTAATCTATCTCTAAAAAACAAAGTAATTAAAAATAAAACATTTCACAGCAACAACTTAAATGCATTAATACTGTCTGTATGCAGAGTGACATGCATTAATTGCATGCAGCTGTTAAGATTAAATAGAATAAGAGTAAAGCATTATAAATATTACAAAAAATAATTGGAAAGAATGCCATAAAATTTGTCTAATCTCACATTTTACTCCAAGTTCATTTTAATCTTCCATTTAAAAATCAAGAAGAAAGTAGTTATCAGCTACATTCATAAAAAATTTTCTATGGACTTCTTAAAAATAGTTGCAAAATCATTACCTTTTTTTCAACAAAAATTTTCCAAGCTGTATACCAGCAAAGTAAATAGCTAGATAGCCACTACAAGAACAAATCCCTTCACGGTTGGCACTAACAAAACTTTTGCGATCATCATAGTCCATAGTTCTGCCATATATAACATATTCTGTAAGGTTCCACTCACTTAAAACATACTGATAGAAAATTGCGATGACTGCTCCTATCATTCCAGGGTATTTGTTTGGAAGTATATTTAGAATAAGTGTGGATAAAACCTGAAAATAAAGGACTCTGAATGGATAAATTCTTCAGGATAACAAGTATTCTGTATATAAGATTCAAATTTGTTTGATTTTAAACTAAAAATGCAATAAAAGTAAAATCAAATGTTCCAATAAAATTGGAGTTGTAACTTTTTCTCATGGAATCATTTTCTTTATACATATTACTCTATTAGTATGGAATATAAGCTTTTTTAACCATTCACCTTAACACAAGCCAATGTAAAAAAGAAATTCCAATGGACCCCATACTCTGTCACATGTTCGTGATAGTTGGTACTTTTTACAGATACAAATCTTGCTACTCCAAGGAGGAATAGAGGTACAGATGACATGACGGACTGGAGAACATTAGTGTAGATGTTCAGCAAACTCCTGGAAAAGTAGATTTAGTACAGAACAGCAATTTTCATATTACTACAGACAACAATTAGCCAAAGCAACAGTACAAAAAGTACATAATATCTTACATATTGATATACATGGAGTAATGTGTATCTCAGAACTTTTAAATTACAACCCTATTGCTAATACTGGCTCATACAAGATTATATTTATAGTATACATGTACATGTAAGAGCAATTTCACAGTAATTTCCTTCTACATATCATCTCTTCTCTTTCATTTCTTCTTCATATTTATTTACATTTGAGAGGTGCAAATACTTATTTCTTACTCTTGAGTAACAAAAAGCTGAAAAGTTTTAGTTGGACAATAGGGAGGAGAAAATACTGAAGAATGGCCTGTTGGAAAAATATATTTGATGAAAAAAAAACAAGGAAATCAAAAGTCCAACTTCCTGAAAATATTAACCTTCTTCCTAATTCTTTGCCTCTTGCTTCTGGAGAAACAATAGCATTAGCAATGACAAAAGATCCAACTCCAACATCCATGAGACCCATGCCATATAACTCTGTCTTGGCAAACCGCCTTGGAAATATAGCAAAGTCCACAGCCAATATGGTTACTGCAGTGGCAATATTCACATATGCGCGGAAATTTGATATAAACATAATTCGTTTTTCAGTCCGTATATCTAAAAAGTTGCAGTCAGGTTTCTGCTGGCTAGGCCTCTGGTCTCTTATGATAAGGAGCCCAGCACAGGTACAAAGCAACCCAGTGTACATCATAATTTTGTGGTCTGCCAGTACTGTGCAACCAAGTAGAGTGGGCAACACAATGGTGACAAAGTCTATGATGAATCTGTAATAATAAAGACTGTTTTATATTGTATACAAATCAAATAAATGTATTAAATCACAAATTTACTCTGCCTATATAGACTGTACAGGAAAAATCTAAGTGACAGAAGCAGGTACAAACAATTAATATGGCACAAGACATAAATTCCTCACACTTTATATTTTGATACTTTTTATGTGATTGAATGATTACGTTTTAATATTACTTAGAATGTTTAGAATGTGGTAATCTCTGTGGGTATTTATAAACTGGATATCCAAAATAAGGCCTTGGCCTCATCTCAACATCAAATGTGTGAGAGAGAGTCAATGTACATAAAAAAACTGCTTTCATAACTGCTATACTCCCACTATACTGACATTCATTGACAACACAATGTCTGGTCTAATCATCTGAATTAATATCATATTATATATTTTGATGTTCCATGCTTAAAATGGATCTACAAGGTCATGAACTAAATATGGCGGACGTACATGAAAGAAAAACCGCCTAATCTTTTAATAGTCTCTCCGTCTCTCACACGCCTCCCCACGCGTTGTCCCTGCGGGGGTACAGTCATTAAATCTCGGCTCCATTGGGACGACACATGGGGAGGCGTGTGAAAGGTGGGGAAACTATTACAAGATTAGGCAGTTTTCCTTTCATGTACATCCGCCATATTTAGTTCCTGACTTTGTAGATCCATGGCTCAACTTGATGTGAATGCAGTCTAAGACCTGCCAATGGGCAGAAGTAAGGTACCTATTTGCTTGACTGTCTGTCACTCTGTTCCTTGTTCCAATGAACAGCCATGTAGACACTAAAGCATAGAGAAACACAGAGAGTGGTGCTACTGAAGCTATCACTGTGATCTCCCATGGTGATGTCCCATTGTTATGACTGACAAAATCTTCATGTTGCTGCTTGTAGGTGTGTCGTTCTCCAATCATTTTAGTTTCCTGAAGTCTAAAGGAAAAACAAAGCGTGAATTCATAAATGAATGGGGGTTTAGCAAAATAATATCATACTGCAACTAACTGGTTGTAATTATGATGTGGGGAATAATGACACTAGGGGGTATCGATATGGGGATGTACAGATGAGAGGGATCAAAAGTTGAGAGCTAGTCTAATAATTCCTTCTAGCCCTCCCATTAAACAGACCTTCCAAACCTCACAGATTTGCTGTGAGATTCATGGATTTAACTTACATCTGCATGGTATACCAGTGGGTGAACATCTCATGGATTGTTCAATATTTCTCATGCAAAATTGCAACCAAATCTCCAAATAAATAACGGTACTGCCGATTGATAATGAAAACAACAGCAAAGCATTCGAATATCTTCCTAAAGGCTTAATTTGGAATAGTTTTTGTGACTTAAGCTTATTTCGTTGTCTTGCATTACACCCATCTGTCTTAAGATTAATAAACAGGAAAGGTAACAGATGTCTCCTTTGAAAATAAGAATGCTTTACTGTACTCTTCCAGATTTTGACCAAATTTCAAGGTTTTTTGAAAAAAAACTCGGAATATCTCCATTTCTCTCAGAGGTGGGGAAGGTCTGCATTACATGTATAATAAACTTACTACCGGTATTTAGTGCTAGCACTATACTAAATATTTAATACAATGTGACAAATTCATACGTCAGCCTCGATTAACCCTATAATTTGTTATTATTAATATATATATATATATATATATATATATATATATATATATATATATATATATATATATATATATATATATATATATATATATTAATAGGAATGTTAGTCTTATACGCCCACAAAATGCATTAATCTAGACAAGATATTGAGATTATGCAGCACAAGAAGGCTTCTAATCTGAACAGCACACTCGGTACTTGCACTTAAAGATAAAATATGCAAACTTATTTTACCCCGCTTATTTATGAACTTTTCATATGGACATTTCATCAAATTAAGAAATGATTGTAACACCCATTGATAAGTTGAATCCTGTGGCCGCCGTTCCATTTATAAAGTATATCAGACGCACGTACATATTTAATATCATATTAAATACGAAACATATTTTAATCAATAAACAATGTATTTTCTTTAGAATTATTGAATTTTTAATTGGTTTAAAGTCACTTATAAATATTGTTGTGTTTTGTAAGGTGTCTTATTCTATACTTTACAAATAAAAATAAACACAGTGCGCTCAATTTTAGGGGTGCCCATCTAAACAAGGGATGCTGGGATATGTTATGATCGGCATGTGTTTCCGTCAGAATGTAGTTTTGATAATTGTTAGCTGAAATTTCCGAAGGATTTGACATCTATGCACACAATCCAAAAGGGGAACATGGTAGAAAATCGCTGTCATTATTTTGATTTTTCTTTGAATTTGAGGTTTTTCCTCTCAAATCAATTGTTTCTTTTTTGTACTATGTACTGTGTAGATTAGTGTAGATCGGTCCCGTGTAGATTGTACGGTATACCAGTATCGCCTGTAGGCTGTAGTATGATAGTAGATGTGAGATAAATCAATTTGGATACTTTTACCTCTCAGTAAAAAGGGCTGAGCATTTGCCCTTAGACTTACATTGTATACACTGTATGCTGATATTCCCTTGTCCGAGTTTTCTGCCTCTATAACTCCTATTTTTACATTATAATAATAATAATATAATAATAATCTTTATTGAGCACTAAAATGCATACATATTACATTTTACAGGCTCTCTACACTAGTCATAACAACTTAGCAACAAATTTTACAGATCTATACAATACTTATGGAATGATTACTGGGAAGCAGCACATAATAAAACGACTATTGCTATTGATGGGTGTGTCGTTTTTTCAAACTTTCAGTTATATAAAGATATAATGTTCTCAAACACGATTCACTTTTTGGACTGAGCAGCCACTGAATTTTTTCATGATCTGTTTTCTGCTCAGGAGGTATCATTAATCTAATTCTTCTGTCACTATGTTCTTCACATTTCAGTAAAAAGTGGATCTCCGTTTCAATTTCATTACAGTGGGGGCACTTGCGATTTTCAGTAGGAGTTTTAGGGGACGTATAGCGGCCACGTTCAATTTCTAATTCGTGGTCACTAATCCGCATTTTTGCAATAGTCTTCATTTCTGATGGGGTGACTTTCATTGACAGATATTTTTCAGGGGTGTAGGTTTTTTTAAGTAATCTGTATGTCCTGAGTTTACTGTAGTTATCACTTTCCAGGTCTTTCCAAAATAGTTCCTCAATTTTATTGTTGATAGCATCTCTTAGGTTTTCAAAGTTATTTAGTGTTTGTGTATCAGTTTTATGGCCCAGACCCCAACACTGTATAAATGTTCTTATTGATTCAGACCAACAGGGTCCTTTTTCTTTTTGCTCCTGTTCATAAATGTTTTTGACCAATCTGTTGGAAGGTAGCTCTTTCAGTCTGGCGCTGTATTTCTGTGTCTGTTTTGCAATATCAGAATAGAGTGGAAATCTTCCAAATTCAGCTCTACAGGCATTGTTCATAGCATTTTTTCGTACACCTAGTGCCCATTTGCACATTTTTAGATGTAGTTGTTCAAAAGGAAATTTATTTAGTTTTGTAAGTGACATTTGTTTTTCCTTAAATATTTCTTCAGACCAAACTTCACACCCATATAGTAAGATGGGCTTGATGGTTTTGTCAAAAAGTTTTAAGTTGAGTGTGGGAGATGTTATCTTGTTTGAGGACAGGGCTGCTTTAAGAGCAAAAGTTGCTTTTAGAGCCTTTTTCTTTAAATTTTCAATTGCTTTTTTCATTGAACCTGTATTTGTAAAGGTTAATCCCAGATAATTGTACTCTTTTACTGATTCAATGGCTATATTATTTATTGTAAATGTTGTTGCAGCGTCTAATTTTCCTTTTTTATTAAATATCATGATCTTGGACTTTTTTTCATTTATGTTTAGTTTCCACTTTTTACAGTAAGCTTGCAGTGCCATTAGTTTATTTTGTAGACCATCTTTAGATGCCGATATTAGGACAAGGTCGTCAGCATACAAGATGTGATTCAGTCCGTTAATTGCACCGGGCTGGTTACAAGAGAGGAAAGCCTCCTTGATGTCATCCATGTATAAATTAAAGAGAGTGGGACTAAGATTATCCCCTTGGCGGATTCCTAATCTTGATAGAAATGGGGTAGTGTAGCCTAAACCTACTGAGATGCCTAATCTGGTGTTACTATACATGCTTTTTATGACACGGTAGAATTTCCCCCTAATCCCGAGTTTAAGCAATTTCAGTAATAGTCCCTTGTGCCATACTGAATCAAATCATTATTGACTGAAAACAAATTTCAGAGCCTCTGAAATTTTGTAATTTACATTTGCTGCAAACAAGTACTCTTGTCCCTTGAAATAGGAGAATTCAGTAAATACAAGCTATTTTTGTGTCAGACAGTGGATATGTGTATATGAAAAAGCAAACAGGAGTGCTAAGTTAGCACAATTGTTTGCACGAAAAAAAGTCTTTGGTGAATGTTTGTAGTGAAGTATATATTATATCTTATTCTTATTAAGAATCTTAACCGTTTCTTTCCCTGAGGTTTCTAATGCCCTAGATTTGTTGAAGAAGTTTTATGCACTCCAGGAAGAAAGAGTCCAAACATACCAACTATTTGATGAGTATGTGGTTGCATCTTTTTTTGCATACAACTGTATCTAAAACTCTTTCTAATTCCTGCTTTTTTCTTAGAGCTTTAAAAATGTTATTGATAACTTTAAAGCAATAATAACTCTTCGTTTCGGCCAAAAAATGAATTTTCCTGGAGTAAACAACAATTTTCCCATACTTACCAATAGTTAATGAATCCATTTTTACATTCAAAGTTAGTCCCTGGTTTTTTTCTAAAAAGTTTGGTTTTTTGTTAAAATCTCTTAAGAGATTTTAACAGAGTATAGACATCAATGGAGGTCGCGTGGTCTAAAGATTATCAGAATAATAGCTATAACTGCTGTTTTGTGGTAAAACAGAATATATTAGATTTCTATGAGTTATTCACAAGGTTTTTATTGTGAAACATAGATCTCATACGAAGAGTTATTATCCCTTTAATAAACCTACCAAATAGTCATGTACAAATATATTGCCTCAGTATTAAGACTTTCTGTACTTCTTATCTGTTTTAACCAAATACATCATCACTGATGTAATTTAAAACTAGGATTTGACCAGCAAAGCGAATTATGTTAAAGAATCTACACACTGTTTCAGCAGAATCTAATTGTCAGTGTCATGTTGTTTTTCAGAGGATTTCAAGCATATTTAGCTGGTGCACCAGAGTACAATTTTCCAATGTATAGGCAGCTTGTACATGAAATCACTGAAACTTTTAAGAACATTTCTGAAGAAATAATCGGGATTGAAAAGAAATTGCGACAAGACCATGGTTTACCAGCTGTTGGAAATTATATTGTTAAAATTCAGGATGACGAAAAACTGAAATTGGAGTTGGTATGTGTCTTTTCATGTAAAAAAGTCACTTTTTAATTAAACACTTGATGTCTTTATAGTAATCTTTTTTGTTCCATCTTTCAAATGTAGGTATACATTAGGTACATGTAGGTATAGCCCATTGCAGTTTCCAAAAGACATGCTGCATCCTAACAGAATAATGGAATTAATACCTTTTCTCTCAAGGTGCATTTTGGAGTTAAGTGAAGATGTGAGGAAATATACTAATATTTATATCTTTCCAGTAGGCTTAATCCACATGATGAAAAAATAGTGCTAAACACAGTTTTTATGGGTTTAAAACTCAATTAAGATCAGTTAGTACAACAAAACAAGGGTAAATTCCATTTTGATGACTAAAACTTGCACGGCTACATGTAGGTTCATTTGAAAGTAATATTTCACTGTTACCTAAAAAGTATATCTTATTTATTGTGCTGCATCTGGTATTGTAAATGTAATAGATAAAATGATAAATAAAAGTATGTCTTCCTTTTCAGACTGCCAAGCTACAGATAGATACTCAGAATGTTGTGGATTTTCCGGAAGATGATAGTTACAAGGAAGGAATGCAGTCAACCAAACAAAGGTGAAAGGGATGACTGAGACTTACCCTATAATATATACTAGTCTAAAAAAAGCACAAGTTTTGCTATGACTGGGTTCCCTTGCCTAGTTCGATCCATCTGGATCAGTCTAACTCCCTGGGGAGTCTCACTAAATTGCTCTCAACTTAACCAGCTTAAATGTCTGTCATGCCTACAAAATCAGCTAGGGGGAAAAGATAATTACCCCCTAACAGTTTACTGTCACAGTAAAGATGCCAGTCAAGGCAAATTGCCGACATGCCTAGGCAGGATTGAAATCTCACTCAGGGAAGATGTAAATCCATGCAACCCCCACCTTACTTCCAATATATGCTTTATGGATTTATGCATAGGGTTAGTTTATTTTCAACTGTTCTAACATTTTATGTCCCAATTTCAGCTTGCGGCAGGTGATAGACAGAATAAACGACCACTTAGAAGAACTGAAATACGAGACAGAAGATCTTTATACGTAGGATTGAAAATACTTTGACATATCAATTGGACAAGTAACAAGCTGTGATTGGTTCAGTGATGTATATCGTCTAGAGGACATTCTATGACACACCGCATAAATGGTCACTGTAGACTTAAAGCCCCCGCCCCCTCTACAACTTGCTCTCAGACATTTTATCTGGCCTGATGATGACAAATTGTCAAAAGTGAGTCCTAATGTAAAGCAACCTCAAAATAAACTAATATCTTGACATAATACATGGAGGTAAAGTTTGAAAATGCACTAATTATTGATGCAGCTTCTAAATATTTGTGTAACTGTTGTAGATCACCAGACTATTTGAACCATCATACACTTTTTTGAATAACCGAGTAGAAATGCTTTGAATGTCAGTTTTGAATATTATGGAACAAAATTCTATATGGACACAATATGTACTAAGTGGAATAGGCAAATTTGGTGAAAATTTCTAGTTTTAACCTTTTTTTTTTTTTTGCTTTATTCATTCCTTTTTTTTAAAGGACACATAGTGAGAGTGAATGCCCTTTTATGTATGTAAATTATAAGAATCAGTTTCTTCCTACACATTGGGCATTTTGTCATACCTCCAGAAAATCGATACTTGAACATATGTAATTTTCATTGTGCTAAGTTTAGCCCTCTCCAGTTTCTGCCACTCATTTTATCATGCTATTGCACAAACAGCATTAATGAAGACTAAAAATTTCAAAGAGCAGTGCCCAAGATGTTTTGGGCTGACAAGTGATTAATTTGGTCCGTCTTTTGGCACCTTGACTTTATTCAATTCATATAAGAAACCAACTTGGAAATGGTTCAACTTATTAAGATGTAGTTGGAAAGGATTCTTATATTTTAGTTTCTAGGCATTCTTTAACTCTCAAACAAGCACTCTTTGACCATGAAACTATTAAAAACCATTTCTTTTTTTATTTTATTTTATTACACCCGAAATATTAGGTTAAAATTATATTATTATACAAAGAGTTTATACAATTGTTCCCAATATTTCAAGCAGAGCAATCATGCTTAGAGTTAATCTTGGGTTTACATACAAAAACATAGTCACAGTCTGCATCAATGATCATTTATGTCATTTCTCCTGTATTTGGCTTCTAATGCGGCATCACATCTCGCCACTGTCATCTTGTCACAGAAAGTACACACAAACACACATCTCGCCCTCTGTACAAGCAGTCCTAGTTCACAGATGTGATGTTGTTGCATTGGTGATTCTGCTTGCATCCGATGTCCTGGCAATGCTAGCAGGTCCTTACTCAAGCAGAGTCCTTCTCATCTTTTGATGCTTCATCAAAGGTACCAACCAAATCTGCAGCAAGCAAATGCATTTTATACAATATAAATTCTTTTGTATTATTATTTGGGGAGAAATTAATTTAAGTGAGCAGTAAAGAAAAATATACGATTTTAAGAGCCTTGCTTAAAATTATTGGTGTTCAACTTAGTAACTAATGACAATATTATCATGCCAAATGCAAAGGTAAAGAGAATTTGCATCTATTTATCATCTCACCTGGTACTTCATCATCATCATCATCTATTTCATCTGTGGCAGGTTTATTTCCATCTCCAGCAGCTAAAACAAAATATAACCAATGTTAAGTATTTGTCACACACACACACACACAAGCATTATCATTCCAAAACTATATTAATAAGAGCAAGATAACAGTTTTTTTTTTTTTTAGATTTCTGTGTGAACAATGATGGCCCCCCCCCCCCCCAATTCCTAATTTTTAACATTCAAAAACATACCAGTGCCTGCTACACTCTCTGCCAATTTCTTGAGATTAGTCAAACCCTCAGTTCCTAACTGATTGAGGATTCCTGGTAGCATCTCTGTGATCTCTGAAGATGAAAAAAGGGGAATTAAAATTAAACTGACTTTAATATGCAATAACAGTATTACAGATTGTTCCAATGTTCACTACAATTACAGGTAGTGTGTAAAATGTTGACAACCTTTTTGAAACATTTAATTAATGATTAATGAATATAGGAGACAGTTTTAAAACATAGTCAAAGTTAAATTCACAAATGATTATTTTTCATTATTTACTGTAATTCAATAAGCACATTAATTGCTATGGAAAGAATGCCACAATTAGAGACCAACTTTCTTCTCAAGTAATGATCCATGCTAATTTGGGACTGTACTTTTACTACCACACTCTTTCTCCTGTTATTTCCATACAAGACGTGCAAAGAAACTACTTCTCGTTCTGAATTGATTATATAAGCCCTGTTAGATCCCAAGAAAACTTACGTTTTGTTTCTGCATGACCATTGATTGCAAATGTGTTGGCAGCTAGTGAAGCCTGTACTTTTGGATTGTTGAAATGAATTACTTGTCCATCATCTTTGATCATATTTACCTACGGAGTAAGGCAGGTATATTTATAATCATCTTGTTTAATAAAGAACCCCAAATGTAGTACATAATATGTAAAAGGCAGCATTAAAGTCATTTCAATAAAACATGTAATTATTTTCTAAGTGCTTCACATTTTATATAGAAAAATGCAATCTCACCTCTTCTATTCCAGGTATATTGTTTACTGCTAATTTCTTAAGGGAACTTTGTAACTTTTTATCATCTGTGGTTGCTGTTCTGTGGACTGCCTTCTTCTTCCTTCTTGGTGTACCCTGTAACAATTTGTTAACAATTGAAGACAACAAGCCAGTTTGACATAAAATACAAACTTTATCAGCTTCCCCAAAGGAGGTGCAGTACATCCAACAACCTCTCTATAAAGATGATGGTGTCCAACAAAGTTTTTAATTCCACTTTTCCTAGCATTTTCACTTTACCAAAAACCTAAGTCCAGGAAAATAAATAAAGAAATTTAAAAGGATATTATAAAGCAAGTTATGTAACGATGCAATAGAAAAAAACTTGAATACCATGTTATTTTATGTGAAGATACATAATTACAACAATATACCTGATGGGCACCAGAGGGCTGGGATATTATTGACATCACGAATTAGTTATTACCCAGTAAAATACAAAGCCAAAATGATGGAATTAATGTAACTAATTAAAAATATATTTTATGCAAACTTTAAGATTAAAAATTAATAATATTATTATAACATTTTGTAGTGAACCTAGAGGACAGTTTTAGAACATGGCACAAGTTCCAACACCGAAGACGATCCACCTTTCCTCTTCCTCCACTGTTATTCACAAGTTACCATGGATAAGATAACTCATGCCAAGATGGGAGGAACCAATAACTTGGATTCGAAGAAATGTTCTAACCTGTGATACTCACCTTACCCCCTATCCTAACTTGGGACTGTAAATTCTTTAATTTTTCGGGATTCATTATGTTTTTCTGAAAATATAAATTCTCAAGAATCAACCCTTCAAAAAAATTCTGTCAAATTTGTTCTCTTGATATCCCAATTGACACAGATGTATAAGAAAAGATTTTTTTAATCTTCACAATCAGAGCAGTAAAGGGCACTTTAATAAACAGTAACGTTAAGTGAAATACCTGTTCTTATTATCATTTAACTTGATTGTCAGTATGCTAGATGTCAGTGACGAAAAATAACTAATTCGTCAAGTGTATATCACAGAAATAGAACAGGCACCTGGCACTGCACTCGAAAAACAGTACCATACATGGGCCTCGTTTACAGGGACTGTCCCTGTCAATCAATTTTGATCACCTTTGTGAAAGGACTTTAGCTACCTAACGAAGAAGGTCTACTGATGAACGAGTACTGGGCAATCCATATGTGTCAAGGAAATGTTTCTTCGTGGTCGAAATTCAGTTCACCTCCAACAAATTACTTCAAAAAAGGTCTGATCTACACCAAATGAATCAACATACACAGCTCAGTCTGACACACGTGGGTTCCTGAGACTTCAAATTACTCCAAACTAACAATAAGTGAAGTTTCACATAAGTGACTATAAGTACAACAAACATCTTAATACATAGCTCTTTATGTTACCCGCTGAATGATTATAAACGTACATCACCCAAGAAATACTTACTAAAATGACAAACAGAAGTGGATTGCTTTATCCACACACAATGTGATCCAAGATGGTGGAGAATGTTTGACGTCACACCTGGGGCTACCTCGATTTGCACATGGAGGAATACTCTTCAAGCTTTCAGTAATTTTATGGGCAGTATTGGTTAAAATGTATACTTGGTTGTTATTCTGAAAAATTCTGGCATAAAAAAATTAACAAATTTGCACTCAAATTCCAGAAATAATGATCAGATTTGGCAAAATAACAAACGTGCATATAATATCATTTGGAGTTTAGAGAATATAAACACCTGAGTGACGTAAATTTTGCGGGATTCAAGACAGAAGGCGCGAAGTTTCCATGCTTGTGGAGTTTACATTGCTGTCACACTTTGTTGAATTTCCTTCGCCATGACTGACGTTGCTGCAAGCTCATCTGCTGTACCAGAAATGTAATATTGTCATTTTTATCGTACTTTCAATTCAATATTGTGTGTCATTTTGAGCGATAAGTCGGAAAATATTCCGAGAACAAAGGGCTGTTTTACCGTCAGTGTCATTCATGCTTCCTTCGACTTCTGAAAAACGTTGCTCGCCTCATATTGGAAATTTTGCTCGGTAATCAAATCGAATCTTCAATGTAATGGATTATGATGGATTACCTCTCAGACGTTTAAAGTGAACCCCACTTTTTCCAGGAAATGGATTTCGTTGTCGTTGATAGGGATGCCTCCAACGTTGGCAGGGCACTCATTTTTATTTTGGGCGAAATATTCTGAGTTTGAATTAAGTGAAATAATTTTTGAAGTTATAATGCACAAGCTTTTTAGCACAATTTTCATGTATTAGCACAGTCCTGTTTAATGTCTTTGGCAATGCTATCACATCCACCATGATATGACCGCTCTCAAATCTTTTTTACCTCTCATTGCCTCAACTGGCATATGCCTTTGAAGCCAACCAATTTTTCCTGTCTAGAGAGATCTAGAGAGTGAATAATGTAAGATCATCTGCTTGCCTATCAGTTATGTTGCTGCAAAATCATAGATATGCTTTCACAAGGGCAATGGCTATGGACAACAAACTTCCAAAAATTTGTTCGAAATTGTTTCTTACCCCATTGCAAACTCTGGAAGTTACTGGAACAATGACATTGGCTATGCAATTTCTATTGTACACATTTCTGTGTAGTAGGTTGCTTTCACAGTCTCATTATTTGACTTACCTTACACATGCAGAGGTCCATTTTTGGTTTTTCCTGTTGCTTAATTCCATGATAGCCTAACAGGTAGACACCAAGATGAATCTTACTTTACACATGGCTCTGTCAACAGGAAATTGATTGGCTTTACAGGACTGAGAGCTGAGATGTGAAGTAAAATAAAGATTTGAGAGCTTCCAGATCACAATGGATGTGCATGCTTGTCATTTTAAACTTTTTGAACCATTTGCTTTTATGCATTACCACAGCCAGTGCATATCAAAAGTCATGAATAGGAGTGCTAACACATGAAATTTGTGCTCTTTATTTTTAAGCAAGATATTATTATTTGAAATGGTTCTCCTAACATTAGTTGTGCTAAGAGAACTTACTAGTACTAGTGTATATATACATGTACTATTTACTTTAAGAATATTTTTTAATAAACCATCCATTTTACTACAGTCCTAACCAGGATCCAACAGATATGCTTGCAAAGGGCCGAAGGGATCTTCTTTGTGGAGAGATCCCTGCTGCTGTCAACTGTCTTCAAGAGGCCTGTCGCTTACTGTAAGTCTCAAATAATCAGTCTATTGATACTACAGCTGGATATCTCACGAAAGTTTGCCCAAGACTTTTCGTTGTTGATCAATTATGGATTGATAGACCATTAATATTTATAAAAATTGTCACTATCTCTCTTAGATATTTGAAGTTGTCGACTTTCGAAATAATATATATTCTTGCATCTAGAAGTTGGATTGTACTACTATAAAAGTAGTAGAGTGATAAAAGTATGTTGAACACAGAATCTTCCACTAAAACTTTGAAAAATTCAGTGATTGAAATATTAAATCTTTCAAGTAATTTAGGACTATTTAGTTTTGTACATTATATTTGCTTGTGCCCATGGGATAAGTCTTGCAGCTACAGCAGTTCAGAATGGTGGATATGAAATTCCTGGAAGTGCCTAAAAGAAAGAGTATAAGAATGATCATTCACTTTTAGCTGTAAAGTGGTCTTCCTGTTACTTTCAGTGCTGAAAAACATGGTGAAACATCTAATGAGTGTGGAGATGCCTATTTCTACTATGGCAAAGCTCTTTTAGATCTGGCCAGAATGGAAAATGGCGTTCTGGGAAATGCACTGCAAGGAGGTAGTTGTTGAAATAGTGTAGTATAGATCGATATTGAATATTTCACCTGCTGTTTTCCTTGATTGAATGTTTAAGTGTTAAGATTAAAATTTTGTCTACTGCATTTAATTTTGTTTATAATTGTTTATTGTATCATAAAAGTTTTGTAAGTTTTATGTGCATCTTACTCTTTTGTCAAAATTTAGTGCCTGAAGAGGATGAGGAAGAAGAAGAGAAAGAAAAAGAAGCAAACACAGATGAAAATTTTGGAAAGCCAGAAGAAATAGATAGTAAGTGTTTTGGTTTTCATTTGACAAAGATGTGTTTATTTGTGAGAAGGGGTGTGTCAAACTGTTTTCTTTTTAATCCAGTCCCATTCCTTGTCATTAATTAATCAGCAACATGAAAAGAGTAAGATATTTCATTTCAGAGCAGAGGTCATGTCTTTAGTTTCATCAGCACAGCAAAAAAAATCAGCAGGTCCTCCCAATTCTGTGCTGGCCTGAACTTCGTATTTTATTTCCGGTAGTCTGTGTTTACATGTTCTATTTTCTCATAAACGTTGCCAGTCCTGAGGACTTTACAATATCAAAAATCTTGCAGATTCTCTGACATTCGAGCAGTCATGACCAGTCGGACAGGCAGTCTCCCCATGTCTGCCCTCTCACTTACCGATCAACTTCTGAATATTTTTTCTAAGTCTCCTTCAGCTTGACAAGTATGGCAATTACAGTATGGCTTTGATAACTGTGCTTAGCATGTTGTACAGGGATTTGTTTTTTAACTATTGTCAGATTTCTGCCTTTTTAGGAGACCAAAATATCATTGGCCTAGGCAGCCCCCTGGACCCAATGCTATACTTTCTGACTTTTTCACTAAATAGGTGTCTCATCCCTGTTTGTAACTGCCTAACTTACCATATCTAATGCCATGATATATTGTCCTAAATATTCTTGTATTAACAAAGGCAATAAGCATTTTTGTTAAATGCAATAGTGCATTTATCTTTACTCCTGTATCAGTTAACATTCTTTAGAAAGATATTTAGAGGGCTTTTAGTACTTTGTGTGTGTTTTTAGTACTTAATGCAAGATATTATGATTAACTGTGATGGTTGATTATTTATTATTAGTTTACTGTGTAATCCTCTTTAGGTGAAGAAAAAGAAAAGATAGCAACAGGAGTAAAGGAAGCCATGGCATTGTTGGATGTAGAGAAAGAACAAGCAGAAAAGAAGACTGATGGAACTGTTGAAGAGAAGCAGAAAAATGATGATACAAGCAAGGAAGTCAAAGATACAGAGGATGTTGAAATGAACAGCACTGATGATAATAAAGAAGGTATTGCAGAAGAGAAGGGAAAGGGTATAACAGAGGAGAAAAAAGAAGATACGACTGAAGAGAATAAAGAAGCTACAGCAGAAGAGAAAAAAGATGGTCCAGCAGAAGAGAAAAAAGATGGTACAACAGAAGGGGAGAAAAGTGCAGAGGAAGAAAAAAAGGAAGATGCACTAGCTGCAGAAGAACAGAGTGACAAGGAAAATGAAGAACCAGTCAAGAAAGAGAAAAAGGAAGAAGAAAAGGAATCTGGACAGGTAGAAAAGGAAAAAGATACGGAAACGATAACCCAGGAGGAGAAGTCTGCAGATAAGGAAACAGAAGAAGAAATGGAAACAGACAAAGCAGACAGCAATGAAGGTGCTTCAGATATCATGTGACCCAGCATGCTATTTTTTAGTTTACATTTTTGCTTTATCTGCATCTCCCCAAGACTTCTTTTGTTGACATCTTCAGGACATCTTCATTGATTGTTACTACTAATGCAGCTGTTACAAAGGCGAAATGTGTTTTGACTGATCAATGTTTTATGACATATAGCATCTTTACATTGTTAACTGTAATGACTCAATCTTTTCAATGGGTAAATATTATTAATCTTATGAAAAAAAATACAGCATCTGTAAAATTCACAATTTTCCCCATTGAGAACATCGAGTAATTACTGTAGTTACTAACTGGAGCATGTAATTTAATCCTAGATTTTTATTCTAGCTAACTGCATGTTGAAAATTGCAAGTGAAATTACCTCTAAGAGCATGCTTGAAGTATTTTTGTTTCATTCGTTCTTATAAAATGTATACTGAAGAACTGCATTATACTGTTGGGAACTTGATTTTTTTTCTCTTCATGTAAATCACTGCTCTAGATTACACTATTTGCCCTTTAAGTGCTTTTCTAGTCAAATTCTGCTGATCTAACTAAAATTGCCTCAACGGTTTATTTGATTGCAAGCTTAGTTCAGAAAATAATGAGATACCTCTTTTTATCCATTGTTTTTGAGGGAAATCCCGTGCTGTGAGATTTGCTTCTCTTAGTTATATATTGTTATCAAACAGTAATTAGTTCAGCAGACCAAACTTGGCCAGTAAAGTCTGTAGGGTGCTCTGGGGGCCGTTTCACAAAGCAGTCGTTAGTTAGAACAACTAACTGCTGAACTATCTTGCTAACGAGAAAACTTAAGGGGTGTTTCACGAAACAGTCGTTAACTCATCATTAAGTTCAGTCGTAAAGTCCGGTCGTTGGTTATCTCGTTACTCACGGTAGTTTCGAAACTGTCTGCGGGGAGTGGAACTCTTGCGTAAAAGTGTCACAAAAGCACTAACTCTCCAATTTTTGGCAGCTGGAAATGCATAAAACATCTGCTTTGAGGTTGTCGTAAAGGATCTCCGTCACCTTTTTGCCTGTCTTTTTGTCACAGCAAGCCGCAACCTTTTGGAAATCGCATCATCCTGTGTATGTTCTAATAGATTCTGCTTATCATGAAAACGTCTTAGCGGTACGGTTAGCAATGGTAGCCACCATATTGGATACGACAGACAACGGTAACTAAGCAACCTTTCTATTTCATTCATTAAGCATGCGTATGACAAAACTCTAGTTACGACTGGTCTGACCAGTCGTTACATATCCAAGGTAACAACGACACAACGAGCAAGAGAACTAGCGACTGCTTCGTGAAACGGCACTCATAAGTAGCGAGAGGCTAACTACCGATCGCTGACTAACTACTGCTTCGTGAAACGGGGCCCCAGGACTTTTTGATGGAGTCTAACACTAGGTACAGCATTGGACAAGTTCTTGTATGTTTAGGGTAATAACTGTGAAGAATAATTGGTTTTGTTTCAGGAAAATGTTCTTACGTTTGGCAGATTTTATTACAACTGCTAATTTAATTTTCAGGAGAGGAACAGGTAGAGGAGGAAGGTGAGGATGAAGAGGAAGGAGATGTTGAGGATGGGGCAGAAGAAAACAAAGATGAGGTAGAAACATTTTTTAAAAGTTATTCAAGAAATAATTATGAAAATGTGTATTATTGTACAGTAGACTTATGATTTTTCTGAAAGTTAGAAGTCTTCTGAATATAGTTACCTCTACTAATGAAAGGGGTTGTTTTCATCAACTTTGGCTATTCAGTCTGTTTTTTAATGGACAACATATCTCAGAGTACACTGTACACAGATTTTGTTGAAGTTTTTAGGTTGGTCAGTTATGCAGGAGAAAAAGAAGTGGTTACAATTTCAACATAATCTGAGTCTTTCAAATTTTTTTATTACTTTTTGTTTTGGTTATTCTTATCAGTTATTGCCATTTTATCTAGACAGAAGTCTAGATTTTTTGTTTGCAATGAATTTTTGAACTGTTCTAATATATTGTTTATCTCATTTCAGGAAGACCCTGATGACATACCTAACCTTCAGCTGTCTTGGGAAATGTTGGAACTGGCCAAGGTCATATATGAGAAGTAAGTGTCTGTATAGAAGATGGGTGATAGATGTAGCTGGACATTGTATATGTTTTATTGGTCATCCCATATGACCTAAAATAAAAATAGTTGTGGTGTGTACGATGTTATAAAGCTAACAGTGCTGTAGTTTAAGTGCAGAAATTAAAATGTAATTGTTTCTTGATTTACAGGCAAGAAAGCAAAGAAATGAAATTGAAGGCAGCACAAGCACATTTGGCCTTGGGTGAAGTGGCTCTAGAAACTGGTAAATGCCCCTATCCATGTTTTGTACCCATTACATAGGGTGTAGATATTTAGTTGAAGTTTTGTATTCACATTGCAGAGTTGAGAAAGCATTCAAAGTAAACCAGTCTGATATTGCTAAGAGTGGGCGAGATAAAATTATCAATTCAAAACAAATATAGTTGAAATCAGTTTATTGCAATTTGTATATTGCAATTGTAAAATTGCTGTCTATCATCATGTTATGGCCAACAATATATTTGCTGTTCCTTACAGAACAGTATGAGAGTGCAATCGAAGACTTTACAAAATGCCTGAATATACAGAAGGAAAACTTGGATCCCATGGATAGATTGATTGCAGAGACGTATCCTTTACTTAATATTTACTGTCTGTTATTAAGATTAATATTTTACAGGATATTGGCACGGTTTTTGATATCATACTTTATGCAAACTGTTGTGATTTCTTGACTTCTATGCAGACAATACCAACTTGGCTTGGCTTTCTCTTTCAACAAGCAGTTTGATGAATCACTAAAACATTATAAAGATGCCAAACAAGTCTTAGAGAATAGAATCGGTACGTTGCATTAAGTTCAGTTGGTATGTGAGTTGATCTTGAGCAGTAGCGAAGTTGTTAAGAACGATCATCTGCTTCTTTGCAATATTTTGAATTTGGATTAGTGGAACTCTAAAAACATGCATCTTAAATGTTTTAGCAATGTTAACCAAGAAGGTAGAGGAGGCTGAAGCACAGGACAAAGGGAAAGGTAAGTTTTTCATTTGGAGTCTTTGTGTGGGAATTTTTTACTAACAGGATGAAATTCATAAAGAGCATTAACTTGTAAAAAGGAGACATCAGTTGATATGTGACTATGTATGGATCACTTTCACTGAGAAAAGTCACAACTTGAAATTTCATTTATTATTATTATTATTATTATTATTCCCCCAGCAATTCCAACAGGGGATGATCCTATAGTCGCAGCACGCAAGGAACTTGGTGATCTAAAGGAAATCATTCCTGACATTGAAACAAAGGTAATGCCATATTGTGGGGTGTTGAAGTTCTCGTGAGAAATATTGATTCATTAAAAAGGCAATGTTACTTTTAAATTACTGTATGCATTGTTATTCATCAGCATTTCTAAGTTACATTTCTAAATGTAATTTGGGACAGTTTGACCAATGAACCTCTTAAGTCCATGAATTCCTCTTATTGTATTTGTGTATATTAACATGTTTATGCAGTTCAGTGATTTACATTCTAGATGGAAGATGTCCTGGAAGAGAGGAGAAACCTTGATATGATCAAAGATATGGCCAAGGCAGCAACTGGATTTGAGAAACCTGCTTTTGATGCACCCAGTAATGCTGAACCAGCTCAGTCGGTGAGTGCCTACAATCCTATACTGAGCTTGTTCAACCTCTGAGCTAAAATGATTTCTTGCCTAGATATTTTAGGGTCCTCTTCTGCTGCCTGATTAGATAATTAAGATCTTAAAGACTTGAGAAAGAAAAGGATATCTCATAGTCAATATTAAACAATAAGAGGTTAGAATCAAATAATTTTTTCACAGTGCTTATGTGGCTTGCTTTATTTTAGATTGCAGTGAAAAAAGCCACAGAAATTAGTGTTAGAAAAAAGGTAAGATTCTGGGTGCTTACTCAGCTTTAGAACAGTAGATAAAGAATAACGATAAATAAAGAATTGTATATATGTTGATTTTGAACAGTTTTTTCCCCTTATTCTTCTTGATATGTACATCGAATAGTTCTAACCCATTAGTAACATAGAGTGGGTTTTAAAGGGAAGGCAGATTTACTTATAGTAATATTGTATTCACAGAGGAAGCCTGATGAAGAGGAAGCTGGTGGTGATGCAGAAAATAAGAAGCCAAAAGTCAATGGACATGCCATTAATGGGAATGCTGAAGAAAAGGTAGTAAACCAAGTGTTTTATCACAGATACTTCCCTCATCAGAAGCTTTTGGCTTTAAGGAGTGAAATAACCATTTTATTGATGTTTAACTTGGAATGACAGTAGTTGCCCTGATGGTAATTGGCAGTGACCTAGGTATTTTTCAAGGGTAATGTTTAATGGATTAAAAATGATTAGGTTCTAATTTAAGTGCGGTTAGGGGCTCATTAAATATGATGAACCATTCACTAGATATGAATCAATATATTTTTCAGATTGCTGACAGTACAACCTCAGAAAATGCTGCCAAACCAACCGAGACTGCTGTTTAAATTGTAGAAATTCTTGTTGAACACATCATTATTGAAGGGAACAGATCTGAGTTTGGTGCTAATGCAAGAAACAAAAAAGTGCTGCATGTTCTGATCACTTGAAAGGCTTCATTATCTGTTGTAAATATTCAATCATGTCTTGATAAATCATGAAACTAACTGCTGCATACACTGAATGCTGTGAACCCTGGAAAAGAGCAATAAAGACGCATTCATTTGTACATAAAAAAAATTAGTCTGTATATATAAATGCCAAAAGTCAACTATGTCTTGAATCTAGAAATTGTTAGTCATTTACTTTTGTTCTGTGGAAATTATATTCATGTTTCAAATACATTAATGCTTTCTATGTGTTCAGTGTTGTTTTTCAGTTTCCTGTTATGCAAACTGAGATGCAAGTATTAGTGTTAAAAGCTGTCTTGATAATTCACTTGCATGTAGTAGAAAAGTGCTTGTATCTTTCTCCCGAAGTTGGCATTTCAAACGTGATGCACTTGAATTTTGCTTTTAAGAGAAAGAAGAGCTTGGAGTATTGAAGTGCATTAAAATTGATACAATTATCTTAGTGCTTGAAGCACCAGCCATTAGATAAGGGTTATGTTTTCCCTTTCAAACTTGTTTTGTTTCAGGTGAAGCTTAGGCTGATTCACACTGGCTTGGTTTTAAAGGTGCATATGAACCGAACGACAGTAGGGCATGGATTTCCAGTAACCCATATAAAATACTACTATTAGTTTCTTATACAACTCCAATAAAGTCGACAGTCCAAGAGATAAAGTCCCTAAACTTTTGGGCGTAAACTTAACCTACTTATCTGCCCATTTATTTTACAAATAAAAAGAAAGTGGAAAAATCTGTTCAAATATTTTTCAAGTAATATGAAAAGATGCCTTTTGGTATGTAAGCTATCCTATTTGAAACTGGTGACGTTTGGTCAACTTTTGTAGCAAAAAATTAACTTCATATATATCTTGAAGACTTGAGAAAAAAAGATGCCAGCCTTTAATTTTTGTGAAATGCACGTCTAAAATTTTTGCACCTGAACTGACTAGAAACTGCGTATAACTAGTACTGGAGTACTTTTTTAACTTTTGGTTTTTCATTCTTTGAATCCAGTTTTGTCACTTTATCACAGGATCGTGCCTACTGCAACTCTTCTACTCATTCAGTAACAATAAAAGGTATTCGTACCAAGTGAAAAAACCTAGACAGCAAAGCTATCAAATGTTCAGTCATGCAGAAAGTACACAAAAATGTTTTGGCCAATTTCGACATTATGTACTACAGGTAACACGGACACTGGAAAACTAACTACTGATTCCATTCCATGTAATATAAAAGCCACTGAAAAACACAAAAACAATAATTATCATAAATATAAACCAATCGTGCTGATTTTTGAAAGCAACCTGTCTCTTTGCCAAACAAAGCCAAAAGTAAAGTGAAAATGTGGTTTGGAAGTTCTGGGACGAACGTCATGTGTCATACTGCAGTGGCAATGACGGCCACATGGGCAGACAGACCAATCAGAATATGTACACACAGTGTCTCTATATAAAAAATGACCTCGACATAGTAATTGACATGGAACACTATCATATCAACTCAACTTGATATTTATTAAAAGGCTGGTGAATCAAAAGTTTATGCTCATATATAGATAAAGTCTAATATACTGGTCAATTAAAATTTTGAATTAAAACATTCCTGTATTCAAACTAACTGCTCAAGTGGTACTCTCCTTGTGTTTCTGCAAAAGTTCCATTTTCTGTTGATGGTTTTTGGATGTCTTTGCAAAAGAACTCTTTGTAACCTGTAAAGGAATGTCTTTACCACTAAGTGGCAGCTTATTTGCAAAACTGTCCATCCCAAAATTACCAATCTTGTAAACTTCATCAGTATGTAAAGTATTGCCATACTGGACAACATATTTTGCTAGCACAAAACCAGTCATAAAGGCATCAAATCCAGCCCTGTGTCCACCTGAGTTGGACTGTGATTGGCTTAAAGGAGTTCCACCTTCTAAATGACTGGCAGTCAGGCTACTTGGGCTATCTTGTTTAGAAGATGGTAAAGTATCTTTATTATGAACAGAACTGGAGTGAATTTGCTTCACAGCTTCATTTGCATTATGAAATTCTCCATCTTTCTGGGATTTGGTGCATTTGGATAGAACATGGCTTGACTCCATGTCAACATCTGCACTGTTTGCATCACTTTGATCACAGTCATCTGTATGTCTCTCAGCTTCCATGGAAGCAGCTTGACCTTTCTGCCTTTTTCTTCTTCTCTTTTTCCCTCGCCTTTCTTCCTCACAGTCCAGTATTAAGTCAATGTTGTGGGATTTCTGACATTTTCTCAGTGAAGGACACCAACCATGAGCCTATAAAATATTGAAGCACGTAGTTAACACACCACAGTCAAATGAGCAAAGGATAGATCAGTAAATTCAACTTTTTCGTTTTGTATTCTGGTAAAATATTTTGTACAAATTTCATCTTTATTAAAGCAAATGCAAGACAAAAATGAATTGTGCAGTGAATACTTACTGCAAAGACTTGACAAATACTGGATGCATGTTTTCTCTTCTCTTCTGATGTCCAAACAGATTTGAAACCCGGTAGTCCAATATACTTGTGTTTCACATTTTGAAAGGAGGAGGGGTAGGACGGAAACTGGAGGTGTACATAATTCTCTTCTTTTGAAGCACTGAATGCATTGTCTCTTTGGCTGAGTGTAAAAATAAAGTTAAATGAATTTTGAATTGTGAAGGATACATGTATTTACCACACATACCACTGAGTAATTCTGACGATTGTAAAATACATGTATGAACTATAATTAAATATCCACTTTATCAAGAAAACTCACCATTTTCTAAAAGCATATTCCAAGAAGGATGCCTGCAGCCTGGCTGAGAACTCGGTGATGTATTTTGTGTCGTAGATGCCTGCTGGGAAGACCTCTGAGAGATCTGCGAGAAAAGTGGACAGCTTTGAAGGAAGTTCTGCATAAAAGCTGTGATAGAGATAGATCAAGTCTACCATTCCATTGTGGAAAGCGATGGGAACTCTGCTCAGTATCAGCTCTGATATCAGCTGCCTGACTGTCCTCAGTTTTGTGTCTCCTGCCTGAAAGAATGCATAAAAAGTGATCAAGTTACATACAATGCAGACTGTTACATTGACTTAAAGAACTTTTAAAACATCTTGTATATGTGTGAACTTTGGACATGCCTAATTTTTGTAATTCTTACAAATAATTATTTTAATATGCCTTCAAAAAAAGGATCCATGATCTAATGAAAAACGATTTGACGCATGAAAAATGATTTGATGCACATGTAGCACATGTGGGAGCCAACACGTGCATTTTTTAAAAATCCTTACATCGAATATATATTAGCAAAGTGTGACATATACCCTATCATTCCCCCTATAGTATGAGACACCCAAAGAATACTGTTTGTTGAAGTCAAACCCATGGTCCACTAGAAACTGCACACTAGATGGCTCCACCACATAATCTTCGCTGCACAGCAGTGTGATATTGTAAGTTTGTACAAAAAAAGTCACTTGGAGGTCATTACTTGGCTGCTGTTTGAAGCACGATATGCCTACAGAGAGTACAGATCTGGTCCTAGCCACTTCTCTCAATGCAGAATATCGATCATCTATTGACCTGGATGAAATTAGTTAAACTGGTATTAAATTAATATCAACTTTTTATGCTAGAGTACATGTATGTTATTGTGCACCATTAAAAACACAAGAGAAAGATGATCTGTTAATTCTGGTAACAAAACCAACTAAGATACAACACCATAGCCTGACTCTCAACAAAGACCAGGGACTGGGGCTACTTGCTGGTCCTTGCAGTATATTCCAGCATGACATCCAGTCTCTCCCACTAATGAGGGCGAGGGCAGGGCTTCCGCTTTTGTGCCATCAAAGAACACCATCTACAGTAGTGAAACAAAATCATGTATCATGAACAAAACCAACTGTTCACTATGTTAGTTCAGGCTTCAGCTATAAATTTTTGCATCGAATTGTCAGATCACCTCTCTCCTATATATGTTCAGCACATTGCCTCAGTTTTCAGCCTTACATGCAACACACAGGTAAGGCCACCAAATACCCAGGGTTAGAAACTCTCCTGAGTATACATGTATGTGGCATCACTTACAAACTACACATATAAGCGCTTTAGAACACCACTGCAAAGCTGGAATGAAAAGAGTAAAACATCATAAATTGATACAAAATGACTTTATTATTTGCAAATGATAAATTTAAGCTTCAAAATGTGATGGAGGGCACAGTTACCCCAGGATGTGGATATTTATAGCCCCGAGAGTTTTTGACACAGGGTTTTACAAGGCCTTGGGAATAGCCTTGCATGTAAGGCCAAAAACTGAGACAAAGCAGAAAAATAATCTAAAAATAGTCTCCAAAATCTTCATTTTCCACAAGGTACTATTGATACAGCATAACTCACATGATATTATAATTATCAGTTTTATCTTTTTGGACTTAAACGCATAAAAATTCAACTTCACTCTTCAGTGAATGTTTTCACTGAAGTGGCCTATCAGAGAACAGACAACAATACTGCAATGCATAATCACTTACTTAGCTGTCAACATCTTCCTATTACCAAGTCCACTCAGTTCCTAGAAATTCAACATATCCACATAACGATCATTTAATTGACATACAATCATAATATACAATAAATTTGCTTAACAATACCTTTACTCTCACCAAGGACGTCGTAATATCTGATTAACGAGTAACTGCCCTAAGAGTTTATAGTCCGCCTACAACAAAGAGCGGTTTTCAATTTACATTGATAGTTAAAGGTACGAGTGTCGCTTTATCTCACCAAATCCAGTGCAACTAATGTGGACGTCCTGAGAGCCAGCACCACGGACGGCCACATTTCTTCAAAGTTGTCATCGTGGATATCGATGACTGGAACGTTACTTAAGTCCGCCATTGCAGGCTAAATTTAAGCTATCACAATCAGGCTACCGCGTAAAAAACATCAAGCTCTAGTTTAAAATGCCCCCATAAAATAATAGTGCCAAAACGAAAAAAAAAACGCCAATCGAATGCACTCGCTGTACTGGTATTAACCCACGCAGTTCATGGGCGCAGACATCTTGGATTGACGTCATCTCGCGCTACTTCCCGCCAGAGTTTGATTGCAGGGCCAAGAACTATTTAACTATTTTTCTCCGTTTCATCCGTGTATTTGGATGCAATTTTTCACTATTTAGAATGACAAGGAAGACTGTGAAAGGCAAGCGGAAATTTGCTTGCAAAGCAGAGAGAGAAGAGACAGAAACAGGCACTGGAAATGTTAACTTGATGAACCTGATGTACCCTGGGGTCACAGTAATGGTACATGTACATTATGTAGTTGTACCAGTAGGAACAGGTCGTTGTTTTACAGATGGGTTGCTCATTCATCACCTTTGCTCAAACTGGCCGGGCTCAGAAGCAGATGTCCCTACGTCAGATATGCTAGCATATGCATATTCATATGTACATGTTTGACCCTGTGCTAGAAACTAGAATGTGGTTTTAAAATAACAATTAATTTCAGACATAAATAATTATCTGCCTTAGGCTGTGTTCCCATAAACCCATTTTACTAGCTGGATTGATCTAAGTCTGCGGGGCTTCTTGTTAAAGTGCTTTCAGTGTAATCAGCTTAATTGTCTGTAATAGTAGTTAGATCCAGCTAGTATGATGGGTTTATGGGAATGCTCCCTTATTTTACTGTTTGAAAGACTTATAATTCCTCTTCATCTTGCAACATAAACAATTGGCATTGTTTAGGATACAGAAAAGCAAGTGATTTTACAAGTATGTTGGAAACGAGGAGGCATGTTAATCTGGATAGCATTCAGCAAGAGTCCCCGCAGAGTTGAATGGATCTATATGTAGTGGTAGAATGAAAGTTTCATTGTGAAATGAGCCCTAACACTTTGACATAAAATGGGCTGCAACATTTGATTTTAGAATATAACGGAGGTTATTGACACACTACACGGTTGTAATAAATCATGTAAAACTTTGGATTATTGTTATTCTTTCAATACATTATGTATAAATAATAATTGAGCATAATAACAGATTCAAATTTAGTTCATGATAATACATTTAAAAAGTTGCAGCTAAGACAAGAGAAACTGCGAAAAATAACTATTATGAGGCCATCTAAATGTGACCTTCTTTTTTTACCTAAGAACTTCTTTTTTTTTCTTTATTGGTGCATAAAGGCCATTTTCTCCAGAAATGTTTATGTGGATTTATCTCTTCAAGATATCTTTTCAAAGAGAAAATAGTTTTGTATTGTTTTTTGTATGCAGGGCATGTTATATATTTTGTTAGTGAACTTATGTTTTAAATCATGAAGTTCCCCTGTGTATTATTTTGTTATTGTATTTATCTACTTTGTCTTGTTTCAGTATGTGCAGTGACTACAGAACCAAGGGGTCCCTGTTGTAAACAGCATCAACCATCAGATCCAGATCTTATCAGACGAGATCTGCTCAGCTGGTACGATGTTAATAAGAGAGATTTACCTTGGAGAAAGGTGTGATATTTTCAACAAAAAATATATATGTTTATATTCAAATATGTAAAATGCATTTTTTTTTATAATTTTTAATATTCATTTTCATAATATTATTGCTTTGTGGTAACTCCAAAGTTAAGACACCTTGCTTTCAAATTGCTTTTTTATGACCATTCTTTTTTTCAATTCATTGCCTAGCAACTGCATGATTCTATTCAGTCTACTTCTAGCTGATATACAGTTTAGTGTACTTCTTCTGTTTCTAGGTTTCTAGTCATGATATCAACCAGAGGGCCTATGCAGGTAAAATACATTGGTACAGAATAATGGCATTGTACAGACTAGAGTTAAATGGGCATTCTGGCGTTCAGATAACAGTAGAACAAGAACTGTTACATAAATCTTGAATTATTTGACACTACTATAAGCAGTTTGATATAAGATCATACATTTGCTAAAACTGTATAGAGTCTATAGGGTATCCATCTTGTCATAGTCTACAACATTTTAGAGGGCTTGACTATGAAAAGGATAATGTTAATTATTATTGTATCTTATTTTTCAGTGTGGGTATCAGAGATTATGTTACAGCAGACCCAGGTTGCCACGGTCATTGATTACTATAATAAATGGATGAAGGTAGGCTACAATTTAAACCTGAATCATTAGAAAAATGATGTTGACAAGCAAAAGCATATTGACTGTTCAGATAAGATATGACTTAAAGTCAACTCAAGTGAATAAGTTATGGAGTTGAGGTATTTGGCAGACTTGTTGACAGTGAAAAAGCATCTTTGCAAGAGCAACAGCTACTTTCTGGTGAACTAGCCTCCCTGTATGTTGATTGTTTCAGAGATGGCCAACACTACAGCACCTGGCAAAGGCAACGTTGGAGGTAATTCCTCTGCAGTTTAGTATCACACTTATTAAGCTTGTCAAGTACTTGTTTTTCACAAAATAAGTAGAACTTTGTGATTGTATCTTTTTTACATTAGTTAAAATGTTTCTTTAAAACATTTTTGTTTGTTTTGTCATTAAATATCTCAGTTTTTCTCTTAAATGTGATTATTGATTACAGGAGGTGAATGAAATGTGGGCAGGGCTCGGATATTACTCTAGAGGAAGGAGATTACATGAGGGTGCAAAAAAGGTAGCTCACTGATAATTCCATAGACGAAGACTATTACTTAAAAAAGCGAAATTCAATTATTTAAAGATGTCATGACTGTATCTGAATTTGTTCTGACACATGGTTTTTAACATGGTAATACAGTATTCATCTTCATTTCTTTAGGTAGTTGAAGAATTAGGAGGAGAGATGCCCAGCACAGCAGAGACATTACTGAAGCAACTGCCTGGAGTTGGAAAGTATACAGCAGGGGCCATTGCATCCATCGCTTTCAATGAGGTAGGGAGAAAAACAACTGGGGCATTTGCACACCTGTTTGGGTAGAAACTTTGACATGAATAAGTGCATGTTTCTTCAAGTAGTAAAACCATATATATTTAGTGTGGAGGAGGACAAAGTTTTGGAAACCACAGGCAATATATGGTTCTCATCTTCAGGTCACAGGTCTGGTGGATGGAAATGTTGTGCGGGTGTTTGCCAGATTGTTCATAATAGGTGGTGATAGTACAAGTCAAATGGTAACAGATACCCTTTGGTAGGTACCCACTACCATCACCACTACACCAATACCAACATTAACACCATCACTGCACCACCACTAGCAACAATGCACCAACATCACCACCACTGCACCAATGTTATCATCACTGCCATCATCCTCACCACTCAACCAAGTCACCAATACCTATATACTGATACCAGTATTACTGCCACCAGCAATGCCACTACATCAACATAATCTCCACTACACTAACACCACTACCACCGACACCACTGCTTCAATGTCATCACCAGTAAATTTTCAGTATCAGGGATAGATAGATAAAATGGTCCTGTAGACTGGAGGTTTTTGTATTCAGTGGCACAATCCAAGTTAAATGTTTAGATGTAATTTATATGATAAATCCTCTTAGACAATGTTTCAAAGATTTGCTAGAATAATTCTTTTAACCTTTAAAAACTCTAACTGTGCACTGTTATAAATTGTTACATATAGAACAATGTAACCATCTCTGTTCGTAGGAGCCTGGCCAATACACTAGTAGACCTTGACCAGCCTGGGAATTTTAACCAAGCATTGATGGAGCTGGGGGCCACAGTTTGTAACCCAAAGACTCCATCTTGCAGCAAATGTCCACTAAAATCTCACTGTAAGGCTTACTCACAGGTATTGATACTAACTCATTTTATGAATATAAGAATATTCTTAAGTATCATAGTTTTTTATTATTATTATTAATTTTTGTGAAGAGTGTTCTGTACCATTTCAGCAACCACAGTTATTATCCACAAGTAAACATTGCTTTCATTCCATGTCGTATGCAAATTTCAATATTAAAATGTTAATTTTTATTCATCCAGTTGTGATGTTTAAAGGTAAAATTATTAACTCTAATACAAATTTCACTGTCTTTGTAAGGTGTTCAAGTGTATCTGTTTCAGGTAATAGATTGGCAGAAGAGAACTGCATCAAGACTTACAGAATCCAAAGCAAGCAAGGGGAAAGATGCAGATTTTCCAGATATTGAAAATGGTAAAGTCATCCCACAAAACTAGTCAACAGAAGTGATCTCTGATTGATGTATACTTAAACTATATCAAACATATACCGTCTCATTTATTCCAATTTAAGTTGATTAAGAATAATAAATACCAGTTGACACTGACACATGTGTGATTATACTCATATTATCCACTGTATGTTACATTACAGCCTCACTGGATTGTAAGCTGTGTCTTCCATCATCTGAACCCTGGGACAGTAGGTAGGTGTCTAAAACTTCAGACAATATTTTGATGTATAAACCCTGTGGCAGTGCGTAGGTTTTTAATACAAAGATCCAGTTTTTGTAGCCTGTCTTTGTATAACAGAACATATAACCTTAACATTGTGCCAGTTGATAGGTGACTTAGATTTTGATTCAGATTCATTCAACATTTCAGGCTACTTTTAGTTTGTTTATATGGTGAGAAAAAAGTGCTTTGTTGCCCAAAGGGACTTTCTGCATTATTTTTAATGCCAAGATATGAAATGGCAGTATTTGCCTTGATTAAGTATGACAGAGCAGTTTTATATGTCAGTTTTTTTTTTTGTTTTCAAGTTTAGGAGTTACAAACTATCCCCGCAAATCTAAGAAGAAGGCTCCAAGAGAAGAACAGACACCAGTGTGCATTGTTCAGAACTGCAAAGATGAATATTTGATTGTCCAAAGGCCCAAAACAGGTATATATTCAATTTTAGTTTGACTGTTTTGATTTTGTGATCTAATGACCCTTAGAAATTATTCTTATTAGGATAAACATTGATATCAACTTCAAACTTTTTTGAAAGTACTGTGGATACACTGTCCTTTTTTTGTAACTGTTATGGACTAAAAGCAATAGTTTGAGCTCACTTCTAGATACAATTTTTACTGTATTCTTATTAACATTTTTGTTACCCAATTGTAGGTCTGCTGGCAGGTCTGTGGGAGTTCCCAAGCGCAACCCCTCTTGGGGTAGAATGTGACCAGACTGAGGCTGTCCGACACTTACAGCAACATTTACACTCAAAACTCCATATTGGAGGGAAAGATAAAAACAACTTAGCATATGTTGGAGAAGTAAGAATTACCAATATTTTTTCTTTGTGTTCAACAAACTAATTTCTAGGCATACTGTAGTGTGAATTTTATGTGCCAAATGTTAAATATTATATTCATTGGGTAATTGAATAATTACTTCAACATTTTTCCACAATCTAACATTAATATAACTACTTATTGCTGTTTGAACTTTTTATTTGAAGTTTATCTGATTGTACAATGTTTTGAAATAATAAAAACTGTGAAATGTGTTACTGTTGATTATTTTTATCACATCCAGGTTAAACATTTATTTTCCCACATCAGCCAGACCTATGTGGTGTACCAGCTGACCCAAGTGGACAGTGTGTTAGGTGAGCTAGGTGGCCAGTGTGGTGACCAGTGCGCTAGGTGGGTTGACAGAGACCAGTTGATGGAGGCTGCAATATCTACTGCAATGAAAAAGGTGAATATTTCTTTCTTTTTCTAAACACTAGGTATATTAGTGTCAGCTTTTATGGTCCCAGCTGTTCAAAGATAATGAAAACTTTTTACCAGTATATGACTGTATTAGTTTGTAATTTTGATTTAGTTGAATTTTTCAGCTTTTTCGACAGAAACAAACATTGTTTATTGAAACCGATTATCCTCACTAACTGCCTTGTATATTTAAGTTTGTATGAAAAGATATACTAAAAGAAATTAGTTAAGTATTGATTACTGCAGGTGTTCAAGACATATGAAGCCAGTCTAAGTAAACAGAGTGATGGAGAGAAAAATTGCAAGGTGAGATAATTTATGTTATTTTTGTTTTAATTTCCATTATTAACAAGGATATGAAACCTTTATTTCCCTGACTGATATTGATTTGCTGCTCATCTTTGATACTATTCCTTTGGAGTCTTTCTGTTGTAGGATGTAAGGATGGTGCTAGGTTTTTTGTAAATTGCCATGGAATGCTAGATTTGAGTTATAAGACTTACAAGAGAACCCCTAAAAACTGTATAAGTAGATCTCATTTTACTGAAGCAAATCTAAATGTATATTTATCTATTTTATTTTATTTTATTTTATTTTATTTTTTATTTATTCATCTAAACTTGTGACATAGCTTACCTAGGAATTTTTACTCTGTTCTGTAGCAACAGAAGGTTGAAAATTATATTTTCATCTCACCTGCAGTGATATCATCTCACCTGTAGTGATATTTACCTGCATTGTAACCTGTTGTTCTAAACAAGAAGGGAAGTGTGTCCTGGATGACAGGATACAAGGTTTTGTGTTTGTAACCTGGACTCTTTGGGTGAGGGGAAATACTTTTGGTGTCATACACATAATTCTATGACCATAAAACTTCTAAAATATTGCAATACAACATAGCTGGCAAATTGATGACAAGCCTTGTCAAAACTTGACAATTGTAGGCTTAGTAAATTCAGGTGATGCCATCAGCAACAGGTCAAGTGAGGGGAAAACTTTTTTTGTCCCTTTGAATTGTTGTTGATATTAGTTATCTGTCCTGTTTAAATTTTGTCCTTGCTACAACATTATTTTGTTGGTTTCATAGCCTGTCCTGGCTGCAGTATCATTAATCCACTAAACTATTTCTTTGTCCTCATAAGTTTTGCTACAAATTGACCTTGTAACTATTACTACTACCAAACTACTTCTATCAGTAGTATATACAGGGTTTAGGGCTGCTGCACTGTCTTATAACAGGCATTATTTTGTCAATACCCTCTGTTGTAAAAGTTAGTTCTATCATCACCTCCTACTCTTCTACAGTATTTTGTAAATAATTTGAAGATTGTGCTGAACAATGACTACACACTATCTCAGGCTTGCTTTTTTTTTTTATTAGTACCGCCAGCGTGTACGGTACCCATGGTTTTAGTCCCGACCTGTCTCGTACAGCTCCGCCGGCTCCGCAGGATGGCGTGGGATACAAGTCACCGTTACCGCTTCTCCTCCTAGACCGCAAGGACCTGTGTCCCCATCTATTGGATTTAGGTCACATATAATCTCAACTTGAACCCCCTGGTTTTTTTGTCTCAGTCGGTGCATTGGCCTGGGCGTGGCGCTCGTTCAAACGCACCCTTGTCAAAATTTTTAAAAATTCAATGCTAAATATCTCCCAAACTGAAGGAATTATGGGAAAAATTTCTACAGAACCTTGACCGAAAGTCATATGTGGAGATTCCAAATATGCCCTTGGATTTGACTTTTGACCTTTATTTCAAGGTCAAACAGGCCAAAATTTTCTAAAAATGGGAATTTTTCCAAAAAAAAAATATTTGTTTGTGCCAATTTTCAGAAACTACACAGACCTAAGCTCTCATATCATAGTGAGGGGTTACAATTAGGGACTCCTTTCATCTTAGGGAGTTTGGGGTCAATCGGTGCATTTTCACAGGAGAAGCAGCCATTAGATGCTGAAACTGAAAACTCTCTCTTATTCTGGAACCATAAATGCTAGAGACGTCTTGTTTGTTGCATTTTGTAGAGCTTGTCAATATGGTTTAGGAGTTGCGCTATATCAAAAAGTACAACGTTGCAAGACTTAGTGCTAAAAATAAGATGTGAAATACTCCAAAATTAGCAGAGATACGTCCATAGTTACTATTGAACTTGAATAGGAATTCATATACTTATCTTATTGTGACCTTGAAAATGACCTTTGACCTACTTTTCACCATAAACTGAACTTTGCAAATTTGCTGTCTCTTATATCGAGAAAACTGGCAGGCATACGTCCATATTTGCTATTGAACTTGAATAGAAAGCCATATATTGGCTATCTAACTGTGACCTTGAAATTGACCTTTGACCTACTTTTCACTATGAACTGAACTTTGCAAATTTTCTATCCTTTATATCTCGAAAACTGGAAAAGATACGCCCATAGTTACTGTTGAACTTGAATAAGAAGTCTTATATTGGCAATCTTACTGTGACCTTGAAATTGACCTTTGACTTACTTTTCACCATGAACTGAACTTTGCAAATCTTCTAGCCCTTTTATTTTGAAAACTGGCAGAGATATGAACATAGTTACTATTTAACTTGAATAAGAAGTCACATTTTGGCAATCTTACTGTGACCTTGAATTTGACCTTTGACCTACTTTTTCACCATGAACTGCACTTTGCATATTTTCTGCCCCTCATATCTTCAAATCTGGCAGAGATATGCCCAGTGTTTCTCCTGGGTTTTCTTTTTATTCAACATATATGCAACGCTGATAACACATTTCAAGGAAAACCCATATGTCTACTGTCTTGAAAATCACAGGAGTGATCAATATTACAAAAATACAGCTTAATTCAAAAATAACCTTGATCAGACTATTTTTTACAGTTATGCTGTTTTTTCACTCCTTTTTGCATATTTTGAGAACTCTTGTTTATTGCATTTTATAGAGCTTGTCAAGCTCAACACTGGTGGTGGTGGTGGTGACCCGTTTTTTTGGTTTTCCATACGAATGCGCTTACTCCAGCTGGTGGTACTATAACAGGAGGCGGTATTGCCTCTCTGATCCTCTAGTTTTATCTGTTTTCTAGGGGTAAAACAGTTTATGTTTTATATGTATTTTTAAATTCATTTTATATACGGTATATACAGTGGTTGAATAAATTTTATGATTACTCTATTATGCATTTTTGCATGTTGATCTTTTCCAAGAGATTAAAAATAGAACCAATTCCAGACTTGTCCCATTATTTCATTGTTTGGCTTTTCACAGTATACCAAATTGTAACCTGTATTCTGTAGTTTGAGCTCCATGGGTAGGGCGGGATGGGGAGTGACGGCTGTTTGTTTATCTTTCTTTTCTTCAGGTGAAAAACAACCATAAGTTCCCTCAGTTTCCTGTTTTTTCATGTTCAGTAAAATCACATTCTCAGTTTTATCAGCATATTTGTGGTGCAAGATAGACATATTTCTAAAGTTGTCATGTTTATATTATTTTACAGCCTTAGATAACACTTCTCCTTCAGCATTAAGCTGACCCATGGGACTGGTCATAGGTCCCCTCNCAAGAATCTGCGTGACACCATTACGTCATTAGCAACGAATGCCTTGATGACCAGGAAGAAAAGCATCGAAAGCCCTATTGACAAGCACAGATTTTAGTTTTACTACAACAACGGCCGTTTTAGTGGTAAAATACAATAGAATATATTTCCATGCGTTGTTTACAATGTATTTCATGCAGAATTTTGAATCTCAAAGGAAGAGTTATTATTGCTTTAAACTATATCAAACATATACCGTCTCATTTATTCCAATTTCAGTTGATTAAGAATAATAAATACCAGTTGACACTGACACATGTGTGATTATACTCATAATATCCACTTTATATTACATTACAGCCTCACTGGATTGTAAGCTGTGTCTTCCATCATCTGAACCCTGGGACAGTAGGTAGGTGTCTAAAACTTCAGACAATATTTTGATGTATAAACCCTGTGGCAGTGCGTAGGTTTTTAATACAAAGATCCAGTTTTTGTAGCCTGTCTTTGTATAACAGAATATATAACCTTAACATTGTGACAGTTGATAGGTGACTTAGATTTTGATTCAGATTCATTCAACATTTCAGGCTACTTTTAGTTTGTTTATATGGTGAGAAAAAAGTGCTTTGTTGCCCAAAGGGACTTTCTGCATTATTTTTAATGCCAAGATATGAAATGGCATTATTTGCCTTGATTAAGTATGACAGAGCAGTTTTATATGTCAGTTTTTTTGTTTTTTTTTTCAAGTTTAGGAGTTACAAACTATCCCCGCAAATCTAAGAAGAAGGCTCCAAGAGAAGAACAGACACCAGTGTGCATTGTTCAGAACTGCAAAGATGAATATTTGATTGTCCAAAGGCCCAAAACAGGTATATATTCAATTTTAGTTTGACTGTTTTGATTTTGTGATCTAATGACCCTTAGAAATTATTCTTATTAGGATAAACATTGATATCAACTTCAAACTTTTTTGAAAGTACTGTGGATACACTGTCCTTTTTTTGTAACTGTTATGGACTAAAAAGCAATAGTTTGAGCTCACTTCTATATTCAATTTTTACTGTATTCTTATCAACATTTTTGTTACCCAATTGTAGGTCTGCTGGCAGGTCTGTGGGAGTTCCCAAGCGCAACCCCTCTTGGGGTAGAATGTGACCAGACTGAGGCTGTCCGACACTTACAGCAACATTTACACTCAAAACTCCATATTGGAGGGAAAGATAAAAACAACTTAGCATATGTTGGAGAAGTAAGAATTACCAATATTTTTTCTTTGTGTTCAACAAACTAATTTGTAGGCATACTGTAGTGTGAATTTTATGTGCCAAATGTTAAATATTATATTCATTGGGTTATTGAATAATTACTTTAACATTTTTCCACAATCTAACATTAATATAACTACTTATTGCTGTTTGAACTTTTTATTTGAAGTTTTTCTGATTGTACAATGTTTTGAAATAATAAAAACTGTGAAATGTGTTACTGTTGATTATTTTTATCACATCCAGGTTAAACATTTATTTTCCCACATCAGCCAGACCTATGTGGTGTACCAGCTGACCCAAGTGGACAGTGTGTTAGGTGAGCTAGGTGGCCAGTGTGGTGACCAGTGTGCTAGGTGGGTTGACAGAGACCAGTTGATGGAGGCTGCAATATCTACTGCAATGAAAAAGGTGAATATTTCTTTCTTTTTCTAAACACTAGGTATATTAGTGTCAGCTTTTATGGTCCCAGCTGTTCAAAGATAATGAAAACTTTTTTACCAGTATATGACTGTATTAGTTTGTAATTTTGATTTAGTTGAATTTTTCAGCTTTTTGGACAGACACAAACATTGTTTATTGAAACCAATAATCCTCAATAACTGCCTTGTATATTTAAGTTTGTATGAAAAGATATACTAAAAGAAATTCAGTTAAGTATTGATTACTGCAGGTATTCAAGACATATGAAGCCAGTCTAAGTAAACAGAGTGATGGAGAGAAAAATTGCAAGGTGAGATAATTTATGTTATTTTTGTTTTAATTTCCATTATTAACAAGGATATGAAACCTTTATTTCCCTGACTGATATTGATTTGCTGCTCATCTTTGATACTATTCCTTTGGAGTCTTTCTGTTGTAGGATGTAAGGATGGTGCTAGGTTTGTGTAAATTGCCGTGGAATGCTAGATTTGAGTTTTAAGACTTCAAAGAGAACCCCTAAAAAATGTATAAGTAGATCTCATTTTACTGAAGCAAATCTAAATGTATATTTATTTTTTTATTTTATTTTATTTTATTTTATTTTATTTTATTTTATTTTTTATTTATTCATCTAAACTTGTGACATAGCTTACCTAGGAATTTTTACTCTGTTCTGTAGCATCAGAAGGTTGAAAATTATATTTTCATCTCACCTGCAGTGATATCATCTCACCTGTAGTGATATTTACCTGCATTGTAACCTGTTGTTCTAAACAAGAAGGGAAGTGTGTCCTGGATGCCAGACAGGATACAAGGTTTTGTGTTTGTAACCTGGACTCTTTGGGTGAGGGGAAATACTTTTGGTGTCATACACATAATTCTATGACCATAAAACTTCTAAAATATTGCAATACAACATAGCTGGCAAATTGATGACAAGCCTTGTCAAAACTTGACAATTGTAGGCTTAGTAAATTCAGGTAATGCCATCAGCAACAGGTCAAATGAGGGGAAAACTTTTTTGTCCCTTTGAATTGTTGTTGATATTAGTTATCTGTCCTGTTTAAATTTTGTCCTTGCTACAACATTATTTTGTTGGTTTCATAGCCTGTCCTGGCTGCAGTATCATTAATCCACTAAACTATTTCTCTGTCCTCATAAGTTTTGCTACAAATTGACCTTGTAACTATTACTACTACCAAACTACTTCTATCAGTAGTATATACAGGGTTTAGGGCTGCTGCACTGTCTTATAACAGGCATTATTTTGTCAATACCCTCTGTTGTAAAAGTTAAAGTTCTATTATCAACTCCTACTCTTTTACAGCATTTTGGAAACAATTTGAAGATTGTGCTGAACAATGACTACACACTATCTCAGGCTTGCTTCTTTTTTTATTTTATCTGTTTTCTAGGGGTAAAACAATTTATGTTTTATATGTATTTTTAAATTCATTTTATATACAGTGGTAGAATAAATTTTATGATTACTCTATTATGCATTTTTGCATGTTGATCTTTTCCAAGAGATTAAAAATTAAACCAATTCCAGATTTGTCCCATTATTTCATTGTTTGGCTTTTCACGGTATACCAAATTGTAACCTGTATTCTGTAGTTTGAGCTCCATGGGTAGGGCGGGATGGGGAGTGACGGCTGTTTGCTTATCTTTCTTTTCCTCAGGTGAAAAACAACCATAAGTTCCCTCAGTTTCCTGTTTTTTCATGTTCAGTAAAATCACATTCTCAGTTTTATCAGCATATTTGTGGTGCAAGATAGACATATTTGTAAAGTTGTCATGTTTATATTATTTTACAGCCTTAGATAACACTTCTCCTTCAGCATTAAGCTGACCCATGGGACTGGTCATAGGTCCCCTGATTCCATTTAGTCATACAGGATCCAAAGAGCATGTAGATAAGACTGCAGTATTAATCTCAATTTTCAAATTTCAAAAGTAAATGTTATTAATATAAGGTGTGGTCAATAGAAGATGTTTCCTACATTTTTTTATTATTATTGTAACTGCTGCAGGTGGACATATTCATAGTTATTAGTCATTAAAAACCATTTGAGTATACACACCACCCACTTTTATAAAATGTAAAAATGCCATTTAATTTTAAAAAGAATTCCCCATATGACTGTTGTGTCGGTGGTTCAAAGGGAAGCAAGGTTTGTTGAAGTAAAAAGGGGGAAGGGAGGCAGCATCAATACTATACAGTGGCAGTTGGTAGATCTTTTTATGTAAAAAGAGAAGATATGATTGTTATTTAAATAAAAATGTTAGGTAAGCCTGTGTTAAATGTACTGAAAACTCCACACATCCTGGGTGTTCTCCAGTTTAATATCTGTCTCTGTGACAGATGTGAAATATTTGCTGAGTCAGTCAGTCCTGTGACTTGTGTCAGAAAAAAAAAAAAAAAAAAAGATTGATATTTGAACTGTGTTAAAGCTTAAAATAATTCATTTGTTCTTTGCCCTCTGTTGCCAGTTCAGTAAATACTTTATGGTTCTTTTCCCCTGACTTTGATCTGTTTATAGCTGATTTATCCTTTATTTACCTGATACTGCAGCCTTTTGAAGGAGCTTCCTTGCCATGATCACCTTTTGAGAGGTTGAGAGTGATCTGTTTATTTTATCAAGGCTGGGAAGGTTGCATTTTTGAAACAGTTTACCTCATTCTGCATACCAGCTCAACCATTTTTTCAGGGTTAGTGTGGTGGCAAAATAAAAGCATTCCTAATATTATAAATCCAAAAAAATATAATTAAAAATTTTGGGAACCTAAAATTTGTTTTATAAGATAAGAGGTAAAAGATTAATGAACCAGAAATAATCTGGTTCTGGGAGACAAGTGAGAAAAAGAGGAGAGTGAATACCACTTTTATAACAAACACACACACACACTAAAAATGATGTAATATATTTCAGTAATTTGTTATTTACTTAAAGTCAAAATCACAAAAATCTGCAAAACGGAATGGTTATGTTAGGTGGAGAAGAGTTATTAAGATAGCTAATTCTATCGTTATCTCAACAAAATTATTGTGAAATAAGAAAGGTTTGCATTAACTGCCTAGTCACATGCCTTTTACATAAGATACATTAATGATTAATTTTATGACCTTAAAATATTTGCTTTGTAGAGGTTTTTTTTTTTAATTAAGCTGATCTTTGGCTTATCATCGAGGATCTTATCACTTCAGGAAGGGAGATGGGGAGGGGGGGCTAGTCTACTTTGGACCTCTGATATTCTCAATTGTTTTATTACATATTACCACACTCTGTAATCACATATGGTTATTCTGTCACCTTTATTCCAGGCTCCCATACATGTAATGTGATTTGGATAACAGGCCAGTTGCCCATGCATTTGAAATTTGTTTTTTAAATATTTCATTATTGATATAATCAGTTGTACATTGTCATCCTTACAACCAATCCTCCTTACAACCTCAGAAAACAATATAGTGGTGTTGTTGCTATGGCTCACAACGCAAACAGTGGTTAAATATCTGAGTTCAGTACCACACACTCATTCTCTAACCAAAAGTGTACCACAAGATTTAGTAGCCTGAAAAAACATAAAAATGTGATAAATTGCTCAATTTTAGAAGTATTAATAGGTTCATCCTGAAAAGCTGATGGATGCCAACCAAAGGGATTTGACATTTATGTACAGAGTTGTCTCTACTAAGAGAATGAAATATTGATATGATGATGATGTGGGAGAGAGAAACGTTGGATGCTTTTTTATAAATTCATAGCTTCTTATGTTATTTTTCCAGGTCAATAAAAGGAAAAGAAATGCATCAGGGTCTTGGTCAAGAAAAGATGGAAAGAAACAAATGGCAATAGAGGCTTTCTTCCAACCAAAACCCAAGTAATAATCTCTCTCTCTCTCTCTCTCTCTCTCTCTCTCTCTCTCTCTCACACACACACACACACACACACATGCTGTTGCCATACATTGTGACATGTGAAAAGACTATTTTGAAATATATTCCTTCCTCAGACAATATAATCATCAAGATGCTAGACCATGTTGATAGATAGTAATAAAAAGGAAAAGGTCATCAGTTAAACATGGCATTCCAGTTATAATGTGCAGACACAAGCTGTTCCTCGAGACATCGGGTGGAATATAGATGAGGAAGAACAAAGCTAGCACCTGGAGAATTCCATACTTGACACTTTTTTATTTTTATCTTGCCATAGTCAGGTTGTGCATTTGTCAACTTTGTGTCCCCAAAGATGTTTGAACATAATTGAGAAACGGGTGTATAGCATGTCCTCTTGTCAAACTACATATTTGAAAATTATAAATGTAAATTATTTTTGTAGTGATATTCCAGCACACTTGTTATTTCTGAGATATAAAAGTATGCTTAACGAGATTAGACCTGGTATTTTCTTTTGTTTAATGACAGCTATTAATTTCTCAGCGCTGTAGATCTCAGTCCTGATTATTGTTTTGTTAACCATCAGTGAATGAAATCTCTAGATTCACTGATGTAGGTAATTTTATCAGCACAAGAAGAACATACATGGCTAATTAACTGCCAAAAATAGAAGCACTTTCAGTATAGATAGTAGAAAACACAATGTTCTGCCTAATGACTTGTGTAATTGCATAATTATTCTAATTAAATAACATGGTTAGGAGTGATAGTGCAGGGTTTTGTACCTTATGTACCATGTTTTACATTGTTTTTGTTCTGGTTGCTCTAGCATGGTTCACACAAAGCACCAGCACTAACGAGACTCTCTCTCTGAAAAGCAGTTGTTCGAATATATTTTGTGGTTGGTTTGCTTGCTCTCAAGTCCCTGCTCGTAATATGAACGTATTCTTGTGGTAATATTTTAGTTCATACAGTGGAACACTTGTTAAGCTATTTAAGTAAGGCTAGCCATTGCCTGTCCTCTGGTGCCAGTAGTTTTATGTAATTGGCAAAGATTTTTAAGTGCTATTTATCATGTTTTCTGTTGTTTTCCAGGTGAAGGTAGTAAAAATCATGAAAAATGAGGTCAATGAAGACTAAACAGGGGGTTTCTTCACAGTGCTTTGTGGGCATTCCACAGAAAATGAAGATAAATTTGATTGAACTGAGTCTGATTGGCATCAGCATATATATCATCTATAAGACTTGTTCTTTGTGTATCAAGAAAATTGCCAACATTTCTTGGTATCATGCCATTCAGTGCAACTCTGTAAAGATTATGTCAGATACTTGCCTATACATGTATCTAGCAAAGTAGTCGTCCAAATGATTGTATTTGTGATTAGACTGTTTTCAGTCTTCATATATTAGATGTGCAAATTACTGTTATATGATTAGAAATTTGGTAAAAAAAAAAAACAATGCATTTTATTTTACTTGCTTTAAAAAAAAGCAAACATTTTATGCAAATTCTATTTTGCATGGCAATCCCTGTTATGAAATCCTGTAATTTTTTAGTCTATACACCATTTTTTCTCCTCGTGCCATTCTGCTTTAGTCATGGTACTTGTCTTGAAAAACATTCCTGCATAGTAATATACTAAAGTCATTATTCGTTGACAAAATTTCAGACAACAATTACTATTTCAATTAACTGTGAGAACGGACAATACAATATAGTAATGTGTGCCTGTCATGAAAATCTTCAGCATGTTGTCCTGTCCCTCCATGGGACCCAAGCACCTGCACAGGCACCTGCTAAGATTAATGCGACACAGGGGCAAGAATGCAGCTTTGTTTCTATTATTAGAATACCTGAGGGTTAATAAACTACAATTGATCTGTAACATAGTAATGACTGGCCCCAGTTTAACTCCCGTTTTTCTATTTTTAGTAACTGTAAAACATGTTGGATGCAATCAAGTCCATGCCACGAAAAAACAAACGTGGTCGCATGGAGAAAAATAAGCTGCCAAACAAACATCTCACGAATCCTCTGTCATTGTTCAATGTGGACACCATGTCTTAAAATTAATTTAGTGACAAGTACACTTCAAAAGTTACTTGTTGGTCATGGAATAGTACATCTTGAGTGAAGCCTGCAACTTTCACCGTTTTTCTTGTCTTTGCTACTTTGAGTTGACCTAAAACTACTGTTGGAAACGGTTTAAAAGATACCATCAAACGTCTCATTAAACGCGTGTAAAATGTCAAACACATAAAAATGTTACAGACAGCACCTTTACTATTTCACTTTTTAGTTTTTTGGTAATTTTTTTTTTAATCATTGGTTCACAGCATGCCTCAGACTGATGCACTTTCCACTGAACACGATCCCTGCTGATTTATCGACTTCGACCCATTAAAAGACTAAAGCGTAGGACATGAAAATGTTTTTCGTCACTGAATAAATAACTTCGCCTAATCACTAAGGTGAACTACGTGAATGCCTGAAATAATCGTTTCTTAGTTTGTAAATAGCCCCCTTGTTGGTATTTTTGTCTCATCGGTTGCCATAACAGCAGAATATTGAAGAAATTTGTTATAGATACTTGTGTTTGTGTTTGAAACTTTGGTCAGAAAGAGCAAAACGTTCCGAAGTTCATAAATAATAAGGTCAGTGGCATTGCATTTTTTCATCGTTGCACCTCAAATAAACCAGTTTGCTGTACAGGGAAGAACGTAAACAATTCAGGGATCGACCCGGTGCTAACTGGTGTAGATTTCTTCTCTTGACATTTTAACACTTAATTTTCATGAGAATTTTTTGTGGGAACTGCAATTCTCAGGTCAAATTTTCTCCTGGTTAGCTTAGCACAGTATCAATATTTTGCTTGTTTACTTTTGTGAACAGAAAAAGTGTACTTCACGTCAGCCCAGGTGGTTAAACGGTGGGACCCTGTGAACTCAGACAATTTAATAAACAAGGTAATACTATCAAATTGAGTCGCTCAATTTGATGTCAATGGAGTGTACGGCAATAAACTGATTAGCTTGTGAGGGCCTGGTTATTGTCCATCACCAGTGCACCTCCTAGACACACTAGGCTGGTCGCATGGTTCATTTCACCTCAGAGTTGTTTACCACGCACGCACGTGCTGGGAACTCTGCTATGGAGGGAAGGGGGGGGGGCATAGGACAGTTTCTCCTAGGATAAGATTAGGACCCAGTATACTATATACTACGTTCTAAGTTCGTGATTAACGCTTGAGAGTGCTACTTAAGATATTCGGGTAACATGGCTCCTTTTGTTAAACAACTTGGAAAAGGCGGACATTTGATGTTTCTCATTTGTGAAGTAATTTCTTGTTATTGAGTCACGTTCCACTTAAGATTTTGACACCTTAGGGGTGTATTTGTGATATCTATCCAGTAGCTGGCACTCATAAACAAATAGGATTAGCAAGTTAAATAGATGCAGTATATAACGATATTCTAACTGTTACTGTATGTTGTTTTGTGTATGGTGCAAACCTGATGACCCCATACTCTTAAGCATATTGCAACCCAAAAGCTCAGCTACTGTGATTTTTCTTTCATAGTTTTGTTATTGCGAAGGTTACTGAACGAAAGAGAATTTGGGCTGGGTCCAAACAAACATTAGAAAAAAGTGACCGATTTTTCAACGAGCACATCATAGTCCATAATCTGCTTCTCTTTGCTGTCAAGATGCACGTGTCTCTGTTTGGGAAAAGTCGGACATATCGTTCGGTTTCCATCAAACATTGTCACAACTGCCAAATGCGGAAGACGAAAGTAATAACATTCTGTGGCAGTCACACACTGCAATTTTGATATTGCATTTACATTTCGAATCGTTTTGTAAGTTAAAAAATATTTTGATTTCAGTAGGTTATCGTGAGTATTATTTCGTATATGTGTTTACTTTGTCATCCCGCATAATCCAGGTTTATTTGCTGTCATATTTTTTTACGTTCCGTGCTTGGTTGTCAGATGAGTGTTTGTCTAGATGGCACCACGAATGTATTGCCACAATGTATTCATTAGCCCCTAACTGCTCTCCTGCACGTGTGTATATTGGCATACTTTGTTGAGTATCACACTAATTATGTGGGTAACTACACTATCTACACCGTAAGCGTGACATCTGTGCCATTAACGCAATTGAATTTCACTAGATTGCGTTAGAGATTAAGCCCACCTACAAGTACATCTATTCTGTTTGGTTTGTCATAGATTTATCTGTAGGGTTTTTTTTCCTGCCCAATTCTTAACACATAGCTTTATAATCTATAATAAACTTTACTACTAATATTATAGAAAGAATGGGAGTGACTACTAGTAAATTCTCATCGAATCGATGCATTACAACTGATTTAATCGCAAGAATGAATAGATGAAATTTGTTGGGAAATGCCAGATACACGATGCCAAATGTCACTTTTCTGATCAAGACCGCAGAACAAAAATTTGGAAATCACTGTACCTACGTGTCACAACGAGCGGTCGTTACATATCATTTGATAAACTGGCACCATCTACTTTAGCTTTACTTAGGACCCAAGTGACACTCTAAATTATATACCTGTTCACTTTAAAGTCTAGCGGATCGATTTAACAGCCATGTCTACCTATATGACATTTGACGGTTATTCTGGCTTTCGCCGTTCACCCCAGGTCTCACTCTGACACCTGAGATAGATCCCAGCAGTTCTATCTGACCATTGTGATCAACTGTACTTAACAGGGGTATGGTGACAGGTAGTACTTCGGAGATATTGAGTCTTTGTGCCACCAGCCACCCGTCAAATTGCTCACATATTTCTTTGTTGTTTCCTCTGCGCCCATTAGACAAACCTGTATCATTAATCTAAAAGACATCAGCTAGGGACGAGCATATAGAATCTAATAACGTTGTCCATATTATTAAGATTCCCTGGACTGGCAAAATAAAACTACTCTATTTAACATTTCATTACTTCAAATTTATTTCCACGGTGTCTTAGTCGATAATTTCCACGGTGCAATTGTATAATTAGGTGGTTATACGGATATCGTCGGAATTTCGTTTATCAAAAGATGCTCTTTTGTGGCTCCTGTACAGTGCACAGAGTTAAACGCAAAACTCACAAATTTGTACACAAAAATACTAAAGAACCCCGTAACACGAGCCGAGTGTACACAATCTGAGTCAACCAACATGAGGAGCTGGTATTTAACTGATTTAACAGTCTACATCTCTTAAAGAGAGAGGTGTATTTGATTTACTTCTACGTGACATTGATGGCTCTTGAATTAAACTTAAACAGAAATGTTGGTAGTTACTGTCGTTCACGTGACCAAACATTGAAAAAATAATGAAAACAGTTTTGAGACGAGGAGCGTGACTTTGCAAAACTCCGACGCCGCTGATTGAAATATTTATTTAATTTCTACTTTAAAGGGGCACCGATGAAAGGTTGCATGTAAAAACTGAATTTGTCAAAGTGTATTAGTAGTCAGTTCGCTATCTTGGTGGTATTATTTAGATACCTGGCTGATAGACCGATAGATAGAACCTTGAGCATTGTTTCCATCCGTTAAATGAGAGTGTGGCGCCGCAGACCTGACCGCGAGGCCAAAACGAGGCTGACGTTTACATTAAAACTAACCGCATACCTGTCTAGCTTTCAGTTGATTGCTTACATACTGAAGGGACCGACTGGGATGTTTTTATGATTTGTTTTTATTTATCTAGAGACAGCGCCCCACTACAGGAGTTTTTTACTGTGACTTTTGTTCTACGGGAGACACTGGCAGCCGTATACTGGGCAGACAGAAGAACCTCATTAAGTTAGAAAAACTAAGTTACATTGTGACGCGCTGTCAATAGCGAAACTGCCTGTAAAGCAGGTATATAAAACAGACATAAGAAAAAGACACGGTCACTCTGACAATGGCGAAGACCATGCCCGTGTTCAGATACTCGGTGAGTGGGGAAGAAGAAGTAGATAGCTACACGGCGTCCATCGAACTGTCCAACACATGCAGACAAGTGTATCTGGACAGGAGGAAGAACGCAGACATAGCCAGAAAGAGACTGAATCTTGAACGAAATACAGACGAAAACTACAACAACAGAAAGAAGACTACTATAGATCACAAAATGGAACTATTGCGCAAAGAAATGGTAAGTTTTCTGCTCATGAGAGAAACCCATTACACGATTACAGTAGTCGACTTTATTCAGAATACGAAACATCGTTCAAAAATTTTCCCCCCGCAGTGTAATTGTTATATCATGCCAAAAATATTTCGAAACAAAAATGAAACGTCTCAATATCCCCCGAAGCTTATCTAGCCGGAGTTCTCGTGTTCCTGATTAAGTCGACAAAAATGTAAATAATTCGATTGTAAACGGAAACCGAACATTTGTGTGGAATTCTTTCTTGTGGAACTGCGGTCATGCGTTGTGAATTAGTACAATAAAAAGCCGTGGCAAAAGTGTCGCGGTTTTGTTATGGCAGAAGGGATGGTATCTCGGCGGAACTTGACCGGTGTACATTTGTCATCTGCCATAACATCTTATCTTCTGATACACCACAAATTAGCAGTTATTTTTTTGCTATCACAATACAAAACACCCCGTCACGTTATGCTGTACAAGTCACGTTTCGGTTAAGCAAGCGGGTAAATTCCATTTATTAATATGAGTCATGCGCGCTATTATTCACGTACGCATGTCGTTTGAAGGGCATTGTTTTGGCAACATTAGTTAAGAAACGAGAATTTACAACCCGCCTGACAGACTGGTGAGCATACTAGTTTATATTAGCCGTTTGAGTTAGGAACACAAGTCTGGCTTGACATTGTGACATGGTTAATTTGCCCGTAGATATATCTTTGTCTTTTGTATTTTGGCCGTAAAGAAGTACATTGGCTCCCGTTTAAACGTCGGCACCACAAGTCTGCTTGATCTGTCTTGTGTTTTGACTTGTTCGTTTTAACTCTGGCCAGCTGCCACGATACCTGGGGTTGTTGATTTACTATAACGAAGAGGCATTGTGTGTGTCATTTCGTGTCACAAATTAAGATAAACACTGGCAGGTGTAAATATACAAAGGTTGTGGCAGAAATGAAGTGACCATCTTGCGTCATTTTTATTACCAGTAAGTTAATAATTGAACCTCTCAAGGGCGTCTACGCAAGTCTCCAGTCTGTCAATAATATGGTAATCTCTCTGATAACAGAGTAGACAAGGACAGGGCACCTTGTTTTGAAAGGTGTCAGGCGTCAGGTATGGCAGATTCACGAAACGCGTCTCTACGAAACACCAGAGCTAAAATAAGACACTTAAATTTACTTAATTATCAAACCACGCTTTCATAACCATAGCTGTCAGTTGCAGACAATAATCAATCCTGTGGTCATCTTCGTACCTCCTTGTTAAAGGTAATTGTTTCATTAGAAGCGTGAATCTCATGTCTGCTATGTGAGATCGGTACTTCAGACAATCCCGTAGCACTTTTCTTAAAATACGCGAGTCACGAACATGAACTACCTCTGGCATTCAAACTGTACATACCTGTACGACTATGATGTAGTGGAAAAGAGAGGAATTGAGATAAGACGCAGAGGTAAAAAGCAATATATTCAATGTTTCCATATGTCTCAGATTCAATCATGACCCAATAGATGCATCGTGTTTATTGAACGATTTTAAATTTAGATAAGCAGATAAAACGGCGTTGGCGTCGAATCCTTTTCTACACAAAACGGACGTCTACAGACGAATTTCTGTCTTGGTGTATATTCTCACCAAACAAATTGAACAGGATGTTACGTGCTGGTATACGCACCTTGATATGGAACTCTATCTTACCCCTTTGAACCAGTGTTCGGCTGATAGAACACATCGGAAGGATTACACCGCACAATCTCCATTAACCGCACCTTCTCGCCAAAACCAGTTAGGTTTTCGATTTTACTATCAACTTACGAAAAATACAACTTCTATTTTGTAATTACATGATCCTTCAGCTATGAAAATAGAAAATTATTAAGCAATTAAGTGTCTTTTTTCTGTAATTACTTTTGAATGAATATATACAATATTTTGGGGTATATGAAGGGAATTTAACATTCAGAATTTACTATTGTGGTAAAAGAAAGTTTTATTGCACTGATATCAGCTCCTGGTGTGCGGTCATTCTCAGAAAAAAAGGTACCCGTGCACGTTTTTTGTTTTTGTTTTACGCATTAATGTCACTTAAATATCGCCAGAGCGTGGTCGATTTTCGACATAAAAGTTGCAGCTAGTTTTGTTTTCACGACATCTGTTCCCCCAATGTTCTACGGCTTTTGTTAAGAAGTAATTAAGATGGCGTTAAGCGTCCAGGTGCACGTTGACATACTGGCGGAGAGGTGATAATCGCACGTGTAACAGCTTGTAACCATCTCCGCCGTTAAATGTAGATAACGCCAGCGGTCGCTCATTAGAAGGCAAATCCCGCGAAAATCACGATCATCTTTCCTTTAGGTATGGATAATTACCAAACACTTCGTCAGGGTGCAGAGAATCTATTTTCTTTCACTGGTTTCATATTTGTCTCGTTATATTTCCACTTTTCGTATATATTTAATTACGAGCTAGTGTAATGGTTGAGCTTTCAATAAACTTCCGCTAAACACCGAATATTGATTAAGAAACACGCCGTACGATTAATAATATTTACTTTAACTTGGCGGCAACCCAAACATGACCGAAGCTCACAGGTCAGTTATCTTAGAACGGAAGATCAAAAGTGCTTCTACTATAGTGTGGTGCAGCATTTTAATAAAATCCCCTTTTGTTGATAAGATCGTCGATGCAATTGTTTATTTTTCACATGAAGGAGCAGGCAAATTTACGGTATTTTGCGATTTGACAATTCAAATGCGAGAGAAATAGTGTGGCTGACTAGAATAAGCAGCTTTGGAAACAATTCAAAGACGGGAAATAAAACGGACATAGTACTATTTTATCTATTTCATGTAATTCCTCAAAATTAAATAAATGTGATTTAGTATGATGCAAGGTGACAGAGAATCGAGCTAAAGTGTGTTTTATGTTAGCAAATGTCTGGACTACCTGGAGAAGAAAGTTGGGAACGGCGTTCATATGTCACTTCATAAAAAAATAAATGTTGAGAAAACTGTATAAATAAAAAAAGTCCTTGATTATACAAATGCGACCTTTTGTTGCAGGCAAGTTCTTATGGAAAAACTGACTCCTGCGGCTTTTATTCATCTACGTTTTTTAATGGAGACGTTGCGTTTTTTGCATTGCATCAAAATGGTCTCACATATTGTAATGAGTTTTTGTCATGATTCTTTTTCGCTGAGTGTTTGAAATACGATACAGGACTCAGGATTAGAGACGTCCGATTATTTTTCTTTTACACGCGACACTCGTTATAAAAATACTCCCGGCGTCAAAACGTATGCTTAATCTAAAAGGCGATATTACAAGGTATTTTATCTGATCGCTCGTATAAAAGGGCGGTTGGTCTTTTATTCTTTGTTATCAATTCAGGCGACTCATCTTTAGCAATAGAAAAAGAGTTATATTTAAAGTCATTCAAAAGGTAAACTCTGCTCTTCATATTCACTCTTTGTTTCTTTAGAAATATTATACTGATTTTCTTGTTTCTCTTTTTTCAGTCTTCCTTGATAGATCAGGACTTGGCACTGATGAAGCAGCTGCTTACACTGAACGAAACAATAGAGGACTTGAAATGGCAAAGACGCTACGCATCCAAAAATTCTTTTGACTCAAGTAGTTATCTTGTAGACGTTAGCTGCTCCTGCGAGGACTTGAACGAAACTGAAGACTTAGACGAGGACGACTGGCAACTTAGTGCCTCTTCACCGCCTTGTCTTTCCCTCGTGAAAAACTCACGCACTAAAAATGTCCTCCTTGCTAAAGCGGAGAACGTTTCTTCAAAAACTTCTTGCTCAGTGCACGCTAAGAAAGACTCTGTATCTAAAAGTGAAGACAAGTCCAGGAAGCATGCAGACAGTGACCTCCGCTCCAGTTCAGTGAGCCTCAAGACATCTCACGGAGAACAGAGTTCGGTGGATTCCGGGATTCACGAGCCAGACACTGTGAGTGTCGCTTAGCGTTTGTTCGCGGAGACCTTATTTATTCGAGGCGCCTGTTATAATGCGGTATATAACAGAGGCAAGGGCAGTGTAAACGAAATATATTGATATTTCGTCAAAATGATAATCTACCAGACAAATCACCATATAACTATTGGCCTGTACTGACTGAATTTGTTGTTGTGTTTAAAATGCTCAAACATTTTTGAAGACGCTCATGATATTTGATGTCAAACAAATGCGTCACGTTATGACAGCAATAACTCAGCAGTTTCGAATGAAAGCTCAAAATGTGTATTTTGTACAATTTGTATATACTGTTGAATATTAAATATTGATAAATTTGAAAGATCTGTTTCCATTATTGCTTGCATATTTGGGGAAGGAGGACCCTTAGGTGTTAAGGGAGAAAAGGCAAATTCTACCATGCCAAAAAGATCGAAGTAGTAATTTAATATACTGACAGTCAATGAAAACTCATCAGAAAACTTTCTTGTACTTTTTTACCGAGAATCGATTCCAACCATATAAACGAGTACAAATGCACTTGTTTGGTCAGAAGACAGTGGGATGACCACTATTTCATATTTCAAATATTTCACACGAAAACTTATTTTCTTAATGTGCCAAAGGAACTTAAAATATTATTTGATAAATGAATGATGCGTTTTCTTTGACTGTCAGTATATTAATAGAGATTTTTATAAATCCAGTTTCATTTATCAATTAAAATGTTATTCAATATACAAATTTTCGCTATAGTGAGACCAATTAAAACTGATTAAAGGTATACTGTACGCGTTTTATAACTTCCCAAAGTCACATTTTCTATGTCTACATATCCTTCAAATCAACTGAATTTTTCCAATTCAGACCTATACAGCCTCTCAAATAGTTCCGTATGAAATGCACAGGAAAACATGGGGTTTAAATGACTGGCCCTGTCATTAGAACTAAACCATTCAATTGGAAATGATATGCAAAATTAAATCCAAGTACAGGGAGGGGTCGAACAAAGGTTTTCCCGAAGAAAACTCATTTTGGCGTGTATATCCCGTATAGAGTGCCTTAAAGAAAGGTATACGGCACAATGCACACTCTGCTCATCTGACACACTTAAAGTATTTTAAGGAGAACGTCTCAACTAATGCAACTTTCCATTCAGTAACGACTGTTTATGTCCTATTCAAATCATTCAAGACCGCCTTCATCCCGGTCTGATGGCGCTGCAGATCATATGCATTTGAGGCTAAATGTCCTTGCAGGCTACGTTCAGGATTGAAGCGCGCAGACTTATAGAATAAATTTTGTTGACGCTGAAACTTTGGTACAACATCAGACAGATCATCATCATCGCGAGGGTTTCGATATTTTTCAGCACTGACAATGTCAGGCTCTCTCGATTGCTGCTGGTGCAATGCAGCATGTGTTTGTAAATTTTGGCTGCGGTAACTTGGTTTACGCTGAAAATTTGATTTCGGTTGGTCAACAAGTCCACCTTTCTCCAACTGTCGGGGTAAGCTTCTGTATTCACCCTCGAGCTGGCGTCCTATGCCATGCTGTGGCGCGGGACGGATATGTTTGTTTTGAGGAGAGGTTATCTTTGGGCGTGGTCGCTCTAAGGTTTGGGCCTTCCTCGGAGCTGCCACTGTGACCCTTGGGATGCCGTAGACGAGATAGGATAGCTTGTCCAGGGATGTTTTAACTGAGACTGGGTTGTAGGCCAAATCTAACACGGTCGTGGTAGCCTTAGCGCTCATTTGTTTAGGTAAAGATTCCAGTGACAGGTCCTCTAACGGTCTGTGCGATATTAAGTACGTCGCTAACTGTTGGTTAACATCTTGTCTCCAGGACGCCCACTCCCGGATATCCGCTGGCCCCTGACTGCCCACTTGGTGTAGGTGTGTCGTAAAAGTTCTTTCAACTGGCCGTACTGGCTTGGGCAGCACCTGGGGAGGTATGGTCACAGCGTTCCTTGGCACACCATTTACCATGGGATTTTCTCTTGAAGGACGTCGTTGTAACTTGGGTCGTATCAATGACGGCGGCGGTGGAGGAGGAGGAGGTGGAGGTGGCGGAGGGGGAGGCTGTGAAGCTGGAGGGCTAGAAGGCGGGGGTGGGGGAGGAGGAGGGGTGGCGGTGGTGGTGGTGGTGGTGGTGGTGGAGGAGGTGGTGGCGGGGGTACCTTGGGTGATTGTGTGGACACAGTGTGGAGGGAAGCCTTAGCTTGTGATGGTAGAGCAGATGTTAATACGCGAGCTAGGGCCTGCTGGCCCTCGGGGACAACGGCAGCGTAAGGCTTATGACGGGGACGACAGACTTCATCTTCGGAACCTGTCATGCCTGTTTCTTGAACAAGTGGCTTTGCTGCCAATGCAGCGTTCTGTCGTTCCTCTTGTGCCTTCCTAGCCCGAGCCATTCGGTAGGTTCTTTTCCCCATACCATATTTGTGGCGCCATATCGCAGATGAAACTATGGAGGCCCCGGAACCACTGAAAATAACCACTAGGCGTTTGAGAACTGCTTTATCAAAATTGTACTCAACCTACAATAGTTATTCTCATAATGATATTTTGACCAATAGACCTGCATTTCTCACTTCTAAATGTGATTAGAATACAGTATAGGTCACGCTTTTCTTCTTTATTTCATCAATAATCCGGATTTGAACGATTCTAAATAGTTTAAATTATATGAAACTACTGGCAGTTGGACATTTCGTCCTAGATCAACAAGGCACTACATATTGCGGTTAATTAAGTTATATAGGCCTATATCATATCATATCACACGTTATAAACCATGCTGTACATATTGTCATGTCAGGTGTTATAGAAAAGACCGTAGTACCAAATGTAAAACTGACTCATCAACTACTATAGTGCTTTAGTTATCAATAGAAATAACATGATAAAATCAAAGATTATTTTATGCTGGCCGATGCAAATATAAAATCGCAAATCTCTTCATTTTTTACCTTCTCGAGCTCCTCCGTTTTCTCTTTCTCTTTTGGTTTTTTTTCTTCTTCATTCTTGACTGATCAGATCCCATCTTGAGCTGTCTGCGTCTTTTCTAAGGAAAGGACTTCCCCGCCGTAAGAAAATACATTTCATTGTTTGAGACAATATGTTCCGCGTGAATACAAAAACAAGACAAAGTGTACCATGTGTCCGTGCAAAGACAAGACGAAATGTACCAAGCTGTCAAGCCACGCCTAGACAACATGTGTTGCTGTCGCTGTTAAGTGAATATACATTGACACAAATCTGGGCACTAACTTGATGTTGGTACATGTAGGTACAATGTGTGCTGTATTTCTTACCCAGAGTGCGTCTTCCTATAATGAAAACTTAATATCAAGATCTGATCGAGCAAAATCACATTTTGCCGCAATAAATCTTCGTTGCTTTATTACATTTGATCCCTTGGGGCGCATTTTAGGGCACTGTAAGGCTAACGTGAGACGTGCAGGCAGATCGACAAGACCATTGCGGCAGAGGCGTGCACTAGAAATCGACCTTGTACATTGTGCTAGACGACAGCTGAGTGGTGAAACTAATTCTATGCAAAAATCCCCCCTTACAGTAAAAATAATTGTCATGAATTAGCCAGAGACAGCAAAAAATCAATCTGTGACCCTCAGAGAGGGTAGAATGACATCTACCCTTATCTGGGCCACAGACAGAATTAATTTTTACTAGATATTCATAGATCTTTCTCTAGTTATTCATAAGCCGTGTATCCTTCTCATCACTTTGGCGAGGATTCTTGCACAACAACCACATCATCACCCAACTGGTAGAAAATAAAACGACACCCGCAGGTAACGCTATATAATGATAACAAGTTCCCTTTAATATGATTAAATTTAAGATTTAAGACATTATTTCAAAATCCAACAATAGAACAGAATAGTTTTAAACTGGAGTGACTTTTGTAATGTCCATTGGTATATTCATTGCTTAGGAAAAGAAATTATTAAGTTTTTCTACATATGTTAATGATATGTAAACAAATATTACCGCATAATGAATTATAAAATATGTAAACTGTTGAAAGATAACATATCTAGACCAATAGACACGCTGACAGATTAGAGAAAGAAAATTAAACTTTTACAATTTCATTTCAGCGTTCAGACGGCGATGTTTCCACCTCGCCCACTTGCACATAAAATCTACGCCCCGATAGTATTGGAACTGAAGCCAGTTTTTTTATTTATTGGTATATACACCTTCAGAATGTGAGGATAAACATAAACCAAAAACTTAAAATAACAATTATATTCTATAACCATATAAACAATTGCTTTATTGAAAATAAATAATTTTGTTCCTTTAATTGACACCTTTAAATACAACTGTTGAGTGGTATTATAATGTATGATAAGTGTATTATAAGACTAGCTAATGTCCTTTTTTTCGAGATTTTTTAACCCAAACAGCCGTCACTTTATACTCTCTGAAAGTATCGAGATTATTTTTTCTTCATTGAGTGAAATAAATTATTTTGAAAGATTCGTCTGGTCAACGTGCCTAACGAAAAAACGTAGGTATGTTCGTTTCTTAAACAAGGTGATCATGTGATCTTACAGATTTCACTTGACAAATGTTTTGTAAAAACTGGCAATGCCATGTGCCCGTTTTCATTTCTTCGTTTTTATTAGAGACATAGACTGCTTTTTTTAAATAATTTTCGCGTAAGTGCGCAGTTACTTAGTTCCCCTAGTCACACGATTTAGAGTGATATCAATATATATTCTACCGAACCAAGCAGCGATTTGTGCAGAAGCAAGAAGCACTGGGTGAGTATTAAAAGCATTTCTATGAAAAGGACAAAAAACGGCTATTGTTCGGATTACTGGCAGGAAGTGATGTAAATAGGTATGCGCATGAAATGTAATGAAAATAATATTTTAAAATTGTTACTTTTCTGCCATAGTTTGGGCACCATTATTGCCTCGAAACACTAGTCCATTTCGTTTCACATTGTGTGCAGATAGTATTATTGCTGGCGACACTGTACACAGAGAAGCTATTTCCGCGTTAAGTCCTCCCATCCGTCATTGATACCGGGCTTCCCCCGGGGTTCAGCGTAGTTATAGTAGACGCCGTTCGGGCTTTCGGCAGGACGAGGCTGGGTCTGCCGCGTGAAGTTGTAATATTCATTCTCCATGGGTTCTGCGGGATCTCTGTATTCCTGTCTTGGACCGAACCCATTCGTCATGTCCATAGGACCAATGTCATTGTTTAGGTGCGGGGTAGGGACTGGTTTCGGAGGTTTATTGCCCAGTCTAACCCTGGGGATACCGTAATTAATGAACTCATCAGGGTACAGTACGGTACCATTATTAAAGGAGGTAGTGTAAAAGAAAATTGGTTTTCCGTGAAATTTCTGTGATCTTTTTGACGGTAGAAGTTGTTTTAAAGGAGGAAGTTCCGATGGGGTAACCGCTCCGTGATGCTGCATCAAATCGTCAATAATCCCGTCGTTCACTTGGGTCCGCCATGACACCCATTTGTGGAGAGGGGCGTGTTCGTTATTGACTTTCTTCTTCTCACGTTGAACGTGCCCGTGGCCGTGTGGTCGGGGTGGAAGGTCTGGGGGATGATCCATATGACACTCTCAACCTTAGAACCAGAATATGTTAATAATTGATTAATATCACTATTCAAGACGTCATTCTTAGATAAAAAAAAAAAAAAGATGCGCGTGTGTAGGTAAATATTGAGCATTTCGAACATTGTTGTAGGCTTATGCCTTATTAGCAGGCCTTAGATTTTATCGCCCTTTTATAATACCTGTGTTTGTGAATTTTGACTTTCTTATTGCCAAGATTGATTCCAGATTTTTTCTATGCATCGTATGTACTGTGTATTTCCTCTGACCAAATCTTGGTTATAACTGCGTTACGACAAGTTACAAATATTTTTGGTATTTTGATCACAGTCTACACGGGCATAATATTGTCGATAATGTACGACCTTTGTGTGCAGGCAAGCGACATTTCATTGTGTTTTACTATGTGAGTGTAACGTAATTCAACACTGCTGAAGCGAGTGTGATAAGTAGTGCATGCAGGTTAACTTAATGCTTTAGGTGAAACACTCCCATCAATAATGGTTGATATTGGTCATAAGTCTGACGGTAAACTCTTTTTTGAGATCATGTACCCAACAGGATGCACGCAATACACTTTTAATTTTGCGTCTTTCCTAAATTTTCGTATAAAATGCCCTCTTAACAAATTGTCGATCCACCACCCCACCCATCCACGGGCCGACAGGGCACAGCATCAGGAAACAATGCTATATGCATGGCCTTCAATAACAACACTCATCTTTAATACGGCTTGCAAACACAAATGGCGTTCGATCATTTATGTATCAAAATGTGACAGTAACCCTTATGTTAGAAGCAAATCTTCACATGATTTTAACAATATCTTACCTACTATAGTACTAGTAGATATCCTCTCCCTACTTGTCAACTGGTATTGATTGTAAAATAACCACAATTGGTAGTACACAGTCTTACAGAGGGTTTAACGCAGATCGCCGTCTAGATCATGGCTACTTTCAGGTGAGTATTCGATCTCTCACCACACCTTGAACACTGACCCAATTTGAATAACAATACAGTAGCGACGTCTAGCGGGTAGAGCAACCATTGATTGGATTATAAAGGTGTGCAGAATACTGCATGAGGGCAAGATTATGACCAACAGGACAAAGTAGGCCCTATCGCGGGAATTCTCGATACTTAAACACAGGAATGAGCTATCCTTTATTTTTTAGCTTTTTCATGCTATGTCATGCCGATTTGAATCGCACGACAAACATTTTTCTTTTTTAAAAAATTAATACAATAGCTCAATAATTAGCGTAGAGTCCGTATAAATTGCATTATTATAAATGGCTACAGAAACTTGAAATTCCTTATTACATAGGTTTAATCCTAAAAAATAACAAATAAGAATGTGCGGTAACAAACAATAACTTATACTGAGTGTGCAGTCAAATTTCTAACGATATTTTTATCAAAAGAAAGAAGACCCCGTTGGCTGGTTTTAATTGCTGAACTTTCAACGGAAACGTGATCTTTTTTACTTTAGATTTTTTTCTCCTTTCTTTTTCATTTCTAATTTTATACTTTGAAACGAGTAATGCATTGTAAACAAAATAATATGGATGACAATAGCTGCTAAAGTAGACTTTTCTCTAATTTCCAATAACAGGCCCCATGTCCACAGTGGTTTTTCGTGACTGTCTTTAACATGCAACAAATGGTTTTACCAGAACTGTGCTGTCACTGTGATAGAGTCGGTTTCCCTGTTTTCGTCGTAAAACAAGGGGTTAGTTGGCCGTTGTAATAGGTGAAGAGGACGTGTGTATAACCGTTCACATTCCAGTAGGACTTCCTCAGCGATAAGATCCGGGGTCGAGTCTTCACTGTCGGGTACAGGACTAGGGGATGATAGTTCCTCTTCGGGGATGGATGGAGTGGGGCGTCTCTTGAGACGCGTCCCTTCGAAATTCGCAGAACTTGGCGCTGAAGTGGGACGCTGCACCTTTGCTCTTGGGATACCAAAGCTGACATATGTCTCGGCGTCTAAATTTATATCTGTCCTTTCAGGGAAATCAGCCACTGCGTAATGAAGCGCGAAATCACAAGTGTTTGAATCAATAAAAACCGTAGGTTCCGTCTCGGGTGTGAACTTGCTTTGGAGGAAGGGGTCTAAGGCTAGATCTATGAGTCCGTGATTCAGGCGAGTCCGCCATGCCGTCCACCTACGTAAACCTATAGGTTTATCCAAGGGCAGAGCGCTGAACGCCATCTCATTTGACATCTCAGTTCGCCGATTGTTCACTCTGAAAGATAACCACGATTCAAGATGAACACACTAAATACTAAAAGGTCTGATATTGTTTTTGTTATACCTTACCTGAACGCTGAAGTAGAGCACAAAAAGGACATATCTTAATGGCATAACAAAGTGAGCAAGAGACAGTTTGACACCTCTGGCTAACTTTGCAACACTATGTCGTTCAGCACCTCATCCTCTCAGTCTGTAAACTACATAATCGATGGAATTTCAGTCAATTTTGAATGTGATATCCATTTTTGATTTTAGCCTACTAAACTCATCTTTCTCTATTCGTACCTTAAAGACGACAAAGTCCCTCGACCGAAATTACCTGATGTCAATATTAAAATGTCAAGAAGAGTATAAGACTGGGTTCCCATACATAGATCGATCTAACAGGGATCGATATATCTCCAAGGGGATTCTCGCTAAATTGCTTTCAGCTTAAGTGACTTAAATGTCTGTCACGCCTACTTAGCTACCAGGGGGTAATTAATTATCGTTTAGCAGCTTCAGTAGGCGTGCCAGACATCTAAGCCACTTAAGCTGAAAGCAATTAAGCGAGAAACCCCTTAGAGATGGATTGATCCACAGTTAGTACGATAGGGTCTGGAAATGGTCCCTAAATAAATCATGATTCGTTTTCTTAAAAGATCTAAGAGTTAGAAACGGTACAAAACATGGAGTCCAAGTGCTGGAAGGGGTCGAGCTATGGTGAGTAGGATACTATTTCCTTTTTTCTTACGGAAAAAAGTTTTGGCGAGAAAATCAGCGAAGGTTACTTTAACAAGTATGGGGCACTGGATGGTCAGTGAAATGACCTTATATAGGCCAAACAACTCAGAATAATAAAAAAAAATCTTTACCCTAATGTTGTTGATGAACTTTAAAATTTTGCATTTCTCCTTAACCAGGTGTAATTTGTTATCAACGTTCACTTATCCATAATTTGTGTGAATACCATTGACACCGAATTCCTGACAGTAATATCAGGAAGGTTAATGTATTATAGAAATATATTTATATCATCAAAAGTCACGGGAATAACACCGATACACCATCAATCAAGGGAGAGAGGTTTCCGATATCCCTTCGTCGGTCACGTTTAGCATTCTCTATTGAACCTGAGTAAAGAACAAAAGCACCGATCAATACTCACCTCTCCAGTGCGCCACTGCCTCTACGACCAAACCGCTTCTCATACATACGGTCAAATGGCGATTGGAAAACCTCAATGTTTTTATTGTGTGTCTCAGTGCTTCTGGACCGGTCACTCATTTTCATGCAAACACACGTGCCTACCCACCGTTTCAGCTGCACGTACTCACAGGTTGCTGTCACAGCCAAGAACTGTCACAAAGAAATACAGCTCCACAACGAGGCTGCCTGAATGCGCGACCATCGTCATGACAAGTGGTAATCTATTTTTTCCAACTTCAGATGTGGGGGAAATTGTGTTCAAAGGATTAGAGCAAACTAAGCCAAGTACTATATAAACCAGTACTTTAGCTCACATATTTATACGCGTCACGGGCGATGTTTTATATTGGATGCCTCTTAACTATTCACGAGTCTGTCGTTATTATGCCAATAGTTTTTAATATTGAAAGATCTTGGCATTACGGTTAGCATGACTACTAACAGCCGCTATATAAAATCTATTATTCATCCCTTTGCCAAGTCCGTTACAACTAGTCGATTAAGAAGGCCACTGAACGCAAGTCGTTACGTAAGAAAACAGGCACTCGGCGTCATTTACCTGGCACCATACTGTTGGAGTATAGTTAAAACGAACTTGACCTCGGCCTCGTCAAGTCAAATTGAAGTTGTTATTATTATTATTATTATTATTATTATTATTATTATTATTATTATTATTATTATTATCCAAAACTTAGCTAGCTTCAGCTGCCAGTCTAAATGCTGGTGTGAATTCAGTTATCTGCAAAAACTACATCTTAGACACGAAAAATTGAAATTGCAGTCATTAACATTGATTTATTTACACAGGTCGTCATCAACAATATTTTTTACAGTTTTATGCCGAGTTCTCCTCCGCTCACAGCACGTCCGTGGTTCTTAATGGATCCAACGTTACCATTTCCAGCGCCTTCTGCACTTTAATTAGATTTTTCCGATTAGAATTTTTTATTGGGATTTGGCGCTTTATATGATGCAATATATTTTGAATTGTAAATGATTGGTTCAAATGACCACCAATTAGTAAATTGATTAAATAAAAACCCAACCGAAGTAAACGTATTTTGTTGTTTAACATGATAAAAAGATAAACTTTTGTCCACGAAAGGGATAATGTCACCGTTGAAAGTCACGATATTGAATATTAGCCTATTACTTTGGATGAATTTAATTATAATGACTTACCCTTTACTGAACATGTCCCAAAATAAACGTTAACTAAACTGGTCGCTCTGATTGTTCGCTTGATGCATCAAAATGACTGTAGCAAGTGATGTTTATGTTTTTTTATTTCAATTCTGGCATCGAAATAGCAGTGATGTCTGGAATAGGCAGTTTGTTTCAATAAGGCAAACTTGTGCCCACAATCTGTTCGAAAGAGCCACCTTTTGGGCGGATAAATGTCCCCTCTGAATCAAAATCTGGAAAGAATTCTGTGCCATTTCTCACGTTGGACCAACAAACAAGGTATAAAGGTCAACTTTTTCAGAAAAAATAATGTTCTTAAAAATTCAAGATTTGAAACGCTGCCTACAGACCTAATTTAAGTATGTTGTTCGGCTCCTGACAGAGGGAAGCATTTTACTTTGAATGTAGGATGGATTTTTTATGGCATCAGGGCTATGAAATACTCTATAGCATTTATAATAGTCAGCCATTGTCCCTTCAGTGCTGTAGTTTTTCTCTTAAAAGGCGCGGCTCACGCAGCTACCCATTGTCCTGATGTGTTAGTTGTATTGCATCGCAGACTGACTACACAGTTCTCATTCATCTATTGTCCTCATAGGTGAGCACTAGTAGCCCCTCATATTAGCGCCGACCACAAGACAGTGGGACGGGTCATTTCTCCGGGTCAAAGCGAAAAGTGCACAAAGAGAAAGAGCTGACAATCATGGAGTTTGTTGCAAGCGGGGATGACGAAGACGACCCACTTCATACAAAAATTTTATTCAGTACATCTTTCACAAGGTACTCCACATCAGTGAGCAAAACACAAACTTCGACACCTGATAAAACTGAGACAACAATACTGTCAGAAGATTTCACCTCAGCTTTTTTTAACCCAAGTACAGTCAACGTCAATGGAGTATTTAATGTCACCTATTCAACAACGCCAACGTCAACAACAAGCCGTTCTTCCAAGAACATCATCGAGTATGTCAGAAACGATGGGGTAAGTCTAGGCGTGCTGATCCCTATGGTGTCCCTCTGTGCGTTCTTACTGTTTGTCATGGCATGCCTATGGTGGCACGCTCGCAAGGATAAACTCGAAGCTAGAAGGTTAAAAGCAATGGCTAACATAAGAGCTAGAAATGGGATAGCTCTGACCAATTTTAACCATTACCATGACAGCAGTAGTTACTACCGGCCATGGAGGAGTTCGCCTGCTCTGGCTGACGGCACCATCAGCGACAAAACCCCACTAAACACACAGGACAGGTTCGAGCACGTTATGTCAGAAAACCCCGCAGCCTCCTTCATTCCTTCAGAATTTGAACCTACATACATGTTTGTAGAGCCTGCACAAGTCTACACCCCTAGCTCTGTCCTTCTGTCAGAGAGTGCCCGGGAGGATTCCATGAAGACAGACCAAAATATGAACTGGATGACATCATGTAATACGTCCCCAGTCCCAAGGAGCACCAGCTACACCGGGTCTCATCTCTCCAAGTCTGATTCTCACATCTGGAACAAGATGTTATCGTCTGCCTGTACATCTGACATTTCCCACTACCAGCTCACCTGGGTAAGTCCACGACGGCCCAATGAAACCATGTCGGAGCCCACCAATGTTGGCCTGCCAGAGACCTGGGACTCAAGCACCGATTACCATCCTCCAAATAACACACCTGTTAAAAGGACAAGCGAATCTACGAGTACTGGCAGTAAAATAATCAATTACTCATACAAATCTCCTTTCCATCCCAAGTTCAATACTCCAAGTGTTACCAATGACAGCGATAGCGACGTATTTCTCTCTTCTGCCGAGTGTGCTGTTGTGTACCACACCCCCGCCCGATCACAGCAGAGCGGAGCAAAAAATGCTGCTGGATTTCAACCTAAAAACACGGTGTCGACTGGCACGGGAACGCCCCCGCGTGGCAGTAGCGAGAGAAAGATTTCCGAGGGCTCCCTCTCCAGAAGAATATTTGTTCGAGGAAAATTATATCACGGTATCGACGCAGCGTCTGACGTTAGCGCAGCTCTCAGTAGCCTAAGTAACAATGGTTCCTGGCAGTACAGCACACTGTATCAGACCTTACCCGGGCCAAACGTCTCAACCGCACCTAGCACCGCACTAAGCATAGCGATTGCGCCACCACAAAGCAGTAACACATCTGTGGTGGAGCAGATGTTCCCGTCAGCGAACACCTCCCTCATCCCCCAGCCCGGCAGTCAAAATACGTCAGCTCTCCACGCGCAAAGTGCCGTCAACTCGAACAACACGTCAATTTGCCCTGTCACGGGTAGCGGTAACGCCACATCATTAGAGCATCTGGCCATCGAGTCCAGTCAGCCGTCCACTATGCCCAGCAGTATAGCCCCGTCACGTAGCAACTCTTTCATCCACACTGGTCAAGAAACTGCCACCGACGTGAAAGCCAGGGCTGAACCCACCTCGAGCAAAGGTCGCATGCGGAGTCTGGAGTGGGATAACTATCCATTCAGCGCAACCCACCAGTCCCTTGCTGATCTGCCTGGAAGAGAAGTCAGTCCCAGCGGTGGTAACGTTGTCCACCATATCCATTACCATATGCCAAGAGAACCATCGACTCGCGTCTGGATACAGCCCTTACTGTCAAAAGCACAATACTGGGTTTGAGCGTGAATGACTGCATATTGTCCCGTTACCTTATACAAAGATACAACGCTCGTTTCCATAATTTAGTCATTAATATGTTTTTAAATGTTCAGTCTATAAACTTATATCACTCCCCAGGTTATGAGATTTATGATTATGATTCAGATTTATGATAATGTATTGATGTTAGTTTTTGAGTTATGTTGTTTTTGAGTTATGTTCAATTTATACAAAATAGCAGCACTAGTTATGAGATTTATATAACAAAGAAACTGTTAACAAAATACTTTATTTCCAAAAATGCCTATATTAAGATACATAATTCTCCTTTCCTGACATAAATATCATTAACGATAACAATAAATAAAAAAATATTAAAATCGTCACGCCATTTTGGATGCTGTGTCATAATATCAAAACGATAATCAATGAAGCGAATGTAAAATTTACAAACATCCATAACAAATACACGATGATAGACAGAATACACAACGTCCTAAGCAGACCTGAAAGTTCGCGTGCAGTATATGTTCAAAGGCGCGATAAATATTATCCTTTTAAAACCATGTCCAGGGAAAGATCCTCTCTGACACCATGTAATTCGTAAACCGTAACCCTTCTAGCGTATAGAAGTTCCACCAAATCCTGGAAATGGAAAGAGTCGTCTGCAGTCTCTTAGAAGAAGACTTTTATCACTACAGGTTTTACACTAACAGTTGTCTAGCGTCTTCTTGTGCCTCCAAATCCTGTTGAAAATCAAAAATATTTGAACTGAGACAATCCTATCCTATATCAAACACAATAATGTAATATTTTTCTCTGTACTTAACATGCATATTTTACATCTGTACATACATATTTTACATCTTTTAGCCGTCATATATCAAATTTTCTAACCTAGTCCATATATTCTGAATAAGAAGAATTAGAATAATCTTGTCAACTGCCTAGGAACTACCCTGGGATCGTCTTGTTGCTATGGATGACAGGCAGTTGATAGACATCCACAAAATTTTTGTTAAGAGATAGTGTAAGAATACATAATGATGTGTGTTTAAAATATAATACAATGACCTTACCATGAAGCTTAAGGTATAAGATATAATAAGACCCACTAAAAACCAAAGCAACTGCTCTATTAACTTAAAATAACAACATTATCTACCATATCTAGATTTATTCATCAATTTCTGATAGGTGCACAACTTACCTGATGCTGTTCTAGTTCCAGTGCTGCCAGAATTTGATCCCCAAGACGATGAACTGCTTGAAGACCTCCCAGATCCCCAGTTAGAGCTCCTGTTGGAACCCCATCCAGATCCCCATCTTGATCCCCATCCAGATCCCCATCCAGATCCCCATCCTGATCCCCATCCAGATCCCCATCCAGATCCCCATCCTGATCCCCAGCCAGGGCGATGATGATAATAATGGTGTTGTCTTGACCTGTTACTACCCAGTAAATATCCTAGGATGCCACCACCTGTAAACCCTGACCAAAACCCTCCCCCAGTAGACTGACCACTATTGGTATCTGTCCTGGTGTCTGAACAATAACCTGAAACACAAATAACATTCAGTTTTATTTTATATGTATACAGCATGATTTCAGGTTATAAAAATCTCTCATAAAGCCCATTTCGAACAATACTACTATGGGTCAACAATCAAACTACTTTTTCATCAAAAGAACTTAAACATGAATATTGGTCTTAACCATTATAGTCTGCTTTTAAGATAAATTAACAGAAGTTCAATTAAATGCCCTAGGGGACCCGTCTTATAACATAAAATCTGCTAATATTTCAGAGCAAGGAAGACTTTGTGAGCTACAATAGATTAATTTTCATAGTAGAACAAATTTGAAGTCTTAATTTTAAGACTACTTCTGGGCTAAAGATGTGAACCTAGCCCCTATTCAAATGTAAACCTGTTCCAAAAGTATGTACAATGGCCATGGTATTTTGTAATCAATGTTTTTCTTCAGTGCCACCCTTGACACTGTGATAAAGGATTTATGATAATCCCTTTACATACCTCCTTGTGTCTGTGTACACTCTGGCCTGAATCCTGGGGGTGGTGGTGAAAACCCTGAGGGCGGTGGCCCATAGTTCCCAGATGTAGCATCCTGATATGAGGGTGGAGCTTCATAAGGTGGTGGGGCTGAGGGTGTTGGTCTTTGGTACCCAGGGGTACCAACAGGTGGGGCATCTTGTGCTCTGTTTGGTGTAGACAGACACATCTTGTAGATTCCATAGATCATCAGACACACTATAGCAAACACCATCAGGTCACCAAAGAATGTGCTGTGCTTTTTTGGCTTGAAGGAGGAATAGCTAAAATGTGCGAAAAAATAAGTTTGTTCTTTAATTTTCATTTCACTTAACTTACACATTTCTGAAATGCTTAAATAATGGATTTTTTAAGAAAATGAACTATTTCAAAGGCATGTACTCTGATTTAGACAGTTGTGTGGGAAAGTGAAATATGCTAGAATTTATACATACACATTATTTTTTTGACAGATTTAGACAACTTAAATTTTGAATGTTTCAAGGAGGAAGATTGTTTAAAATTTCATGAAAATTCAACAATCATCATTCTATGTGATGATGGATACCTGTCATGGTGATGATCACTGTTAGGATAGTACTGATGTCCTCCCTGACGCTGCTGCTGTTGGTAACCTTCTTTGGTAAAATCTATAGTGTATTCCAGCTAAAAATGTAAATATTTAAAATCAATCAAACTTATTTATCAATTCTTATGCAAACAATATACTTATTTATCACACTGAGTGTATATCATACCAAAATGGCAAAAACATTAATAAAAATTAAAGCAATGTGTCACATTTTTGATAAATCTTATTTAAAAACTTCATAATAAATTATATTTTACCCATTGTTTTTACCCATGTTTTATATTTACATAATAATAAATAAATAAATAAATGACTGTTATTTGCAGGAACTTGATAACTGGAACCTACACCACAAGATCCTTTGAGAATGTTTGGGTCATCTGGATATTCGTAACCTTCACATGTCACCTCCACTTTACCAAATCTGACTGCATTGTCCATGTCTGTCTTACACTCCCACTGTAAGAATTAAAAGCATATTATGGCATATATCTAATGACAAAATCTATTTATATGTATTATGTATAAGGTGGTTTGTTTGAAGTGTTTCTTTGGCTGGGTTAGTATGTATTTCAGCTTCTAATTAACAGAATGACAAATAAATTCATTTTTGTATAGCTATTATTCTTTAAATACAAATTAATAAATCCCATTACTTTAGTATCATTATAGACCTATTCCATTCATCAAGCAGTTCTATAACTGAAACAGAATTACACCAGTATATTTTTCTAAGCTTGTCATTTGCTTATCCATTGTGATGATTTAAGAATGGCTGAACAATAATGCTTGTTTCACCAGATTTGGTGCTGCTCACATTATCATATAGACACAAACATGTTATCAATAAATAGCAGAATTCTTTACCTGTAAATCACTGCCATCAGATCCCATGTTATAACATTGTACCACCTGGGGCACAAAGGCTGTACACCCTGCTGTACCACCAACACACTTTAACTGTGGTACTGGGGAAGACCTACGACCATTGGTCATCCTACCCTGAGACAGTGTCAAAGTTTTAACGTCTGATAACAGGACCTTATCTTTATTGCCTGAAAATGAACAATTCTGACATTATTTACATTATGATCGTGCAGTTCATGAAGTGCAAAAATCAACAAGACATAAGTTCCTGTGATAGTAAATGTATGCATTCAATTTCAACTGAAGTGAACTAGTGACTAAATTAATTCACTAACATTAAATATTTACCCATAAAGCGAATAATTGAACCTGAAGCACATTTAAAAGATAATCTTAGGTTTAACAGTAAATAAAATCTAGTTACCCCACGCTTTGGCTTGACACAGAAACATTAGGACCAATAACATGGAGAGTAAACCAGAAATCCACATCTTTTTCATTCTTGTTGCTTTTATCAGTAAACTGCTGGCTACGTAAATGTTGGAAAGAATCTGTATAACACCCTGAGTGTCACATTAAATTGTCTTCTATGACACCTGATGTAATATATATAGCTTAGTTAAAGCGTACGTGGCTCTACAAGACGTTTCGCCTAAAACTGACTCAGCCCCCACATAAGGACAAACGTAAACATTGCGCGACTTCCGGAACCAAGACGAGGCTTTGATCAGTGCAGTATGGGGAAGTTTTTCAAATAGTTTTAACGCTTTCTGCCAAAACATATATATTATTATGATTACTCTTTCATTCGTAACAGAGGATTCTATGAAATGACTTCACATTATCCCAGGGATTCCGAAGCAAAAGAGATTCCATACGGACTCGATTTCGATTTTCTCTTTAACTTTCCTGTAATAACAGCATTTTTCCACAAGGAGACTGAATATCGCGCACGGAATTGTGGGTTGTTTTCGTCTGCAAACGGATGAAGTATTAGGTGTTACATGTATCTTACATCATAAGTTTAAACGTTATTCTGTCGCTCAAATGACTGAAAATTTAATCGCGGGTATTTAGCCGTAGTGACATGCCCTTCTTATAATGGCAGAAGGGGGGACGCTGGCCTTGTTGCCACAAGATCAGGGAAATGCCGAAGAACAATCTGATGAGGTTTGAAATTGAAATTTCATTAGATCTAAGTTTGCCTTGTGATTAGTGTCACGCCAAGTCAGGCATTAAAAGTGCCATTATAGATATGACAGTACTGTGGTACTGTTTTTAACCTTACTCTGAATGCATTAGTACTATGTCAACATACTTATTTATCTTCAGAATTGCACAGGTACCTGTAGCAACTACTGTACATGTACATGTACTCGATCAGTACGAAGTACTACAGTACATGTACTGAGTAGTAGTCATGTACGTCAAAAATCTAAGGCAGTGTACCCAGTACACGTACGGGGTTGCTAACATGTTAAACCACAGTGGCCAAAGGATGTACGTAGACCCACTATTTGGTAAAACTTTAACATGATACCATTGGGAACAATACGAAAGGCTTGTATCATGTCCAATAATGGCATGTGCAGCTGAAGTTATCCTGTACATATACATGTATATANGCGCCTACGCTGGTGGTACAATAACAGTGAATGTTCAAAAAAAGAAAAGAAAAGAAAAAAAGACCAATCTCTGATTTCTGCTTTTAGCCAGTATTTTCATCTTTTGTCAAGCAGAGTTAATTTCTATTAGAATATCAAGAAGGCATGTGTATTCATAAGTCCACTGAGAAAAAAATAACACTTCCCCAGAGGGTGGTTCTTCAATAAAAACACGTCCACATGATAAACAACACCCACTGCACTGATCACTTCACAATATTATTATGTCAAAGTATGAGGTGGTATGTCTAGATTCTACCCAGAAACTTTTTTTTCTTTTTCTGTATTAAATTGTGTCTTTAGACCTATCATTTATTCATTAAACTATTCACTTCAGTTACAGTGATAAAGAACTACAAAACAGCATTGCTACTAAAGTAACTTTAATCCAAATCAACTGTTTTAATTTATATCTCTTCTTCTTCCCTCCTCGTCTTCATGCTTAAAGGGGGTTGAACCATCCTTACGCTAAACTTGAACCTGAACTCTACTAGCAGCCTAAGGGACCATTCAAATTGAGAAGAGCCGAGTGTTAACAAGGCTGCGACCTAAATACGGTGGACCTACATGAAAGGAAGACCGCCTAATCCTGTAACGGTGTCTCTGCCTCTCACACACCTCCCCACGCATCGTCCCTGCAGGGGCACAGTAATTAAATCTCGGTTCAAATAAACCGGTCGAGATCCGACAAGTAGGGAGGTGTGTGAGAGGCGGAGACACCATCACAGGATTAAGTGGTCTTCCTTTAATGTACATGTAGGATCCACCATATTTAGGTTGCGGCCTTCCTACTTGGCTCTTCTCAATCTGAATGGTACCTAACAGTCCTATTAATTCAGTTGTGCTCTGGCAGGCAGTGCTCTCCACAGGGACAGAGATATTGGCACAATATTAACTCTTCTTGTCTTTTTTCCATTTGTTTAAGAGCAATACATCAGCTTGGCTTAATTTAGAGGTAGCTGCATGGATTCAACAAGGCGAAATATGCTGAACTTATGTGACCCTGGAGCCTAAAAACAGCTGAATACAATCTGATTTCAACAGAGATTTAATTATAACTGCTTTAAGACTAATTTAATAATGAAGTATCTGGGCATTTTATTTATTTTAATTGCTGATTTCTGTCTTTCTTTTAATCTTTTTTCCTTTCTTCCATCCTTTTCTTTACGTTTTGTCTTTTCTTTTTCTTTTTTTTTTTTTTTGGTCTAAGTAGTAATATGCAAACCAGAGTATGCAAACAGCCTTTTTGTCTTTTCTTTTTTCATCCTTCCATCCTTCTTTCTGTCTTAAACTTATTTTTTCTCTTCTTTCTTTTTCTTCTTACAACCAATATTTTTATATCAAATTTCTTTCTTTCTTTCCTACTTCATATTCCCTTCCTATCTTCCCCCCAGCTGTCAGTTGTTTTTTCTTATTTTTATATATCATATTTTTCATTCTTTCCTTTTTTCTTTCCTTCTTTCTTTCTTTCTTTCTTTCTTTCTTTCTTTCTTTCTTTCTTTCTCTCCAGCTCTCAGTTTACATAGAAAAGCTAAGATAATACCCCAGTGAGATCATACCACAGCCTTAGTTTTTGCATTTCAACTCAATACTCAATTTCATAGGCCAAGTCTCATTCTATGATCCACATGACCAAGACAACCCCTGAAACCAGAGTAGGCAAAACGGTCCCGTCTTAAGTTAAAACCCAAAGAGAAACACAAATCACTCTCAGCTAAAGAGACTGTATGTCACAAGAGGTCTGACATCTTTCTAATGACTTCACAGCCAAAATGATTTCTATTGATTGATCGCTCTGGGAATACGACTTTAGTAATTGTTATTGTAGGTCAGTTTTAAACTGAAGATTTTGTGAATGCTAAGAATATTTTACATACCATGATCACCCCCCCCCCCCTCCCCATGCACCTACTCGTAAAAAAAGGGGGAGGGGGGAGGAAAAAAAGAGAAAAAACTAAGAAATGACAGATGACAGAAACCCATGAAAACGTGGCAGTAAGGTCTTGGAATTGAGTAGGATACAGAAAAGCTGGTGATTATTCTTTGGAAACAAGAGGTAGCATGTCCCTGCAGAGTTGCACCCCATTTCCATAGATTTTTAGATCGATCTATCCCTGTGGGGAGTCTCACTAGATTACTGTCAGCTTGGCCGGCTTAAGCGTCTGTCCCGCCTACTACAAGCTGTAAGGGGGTAATTAACTATGGTGCCCGCTCGGCTGACTGCAATTTAGCATGAACCCCCAGGGAGTTAGGTCTATCTAAATCTTAATCTCTAGATCGATCTAAATCTCTGGGAAAGCACCCTTGGATTGATCTAAGTAGACTGCTTTGGTGTCTGTGGGAAAGGGGGCGTACCAAGACAACCCCTTTAGGTATATCAGAGAAAAACTAGAATGTGCCAGATATAAACACAAGTTTTACCTTCTGACAGGTCTTTTTTTATCCAGAATGTTAAAATTTTGAAATTTTGCTATTATCTCTAAAAATTAAAGGAAATATCACAGTTCTTTTTAAATAGCGATATTAGGTCAAATGTGTCCTCCCATTTTAGCCAGAAAGCTGTGACCACTGAACGCTTTTGTGCCAAATTCAAAACACACTTCGCTTTGATCAACTTCATGGGGTTTGATGCAGACGACCACAAATGCTCTATACCAGCTTTCACAAAGTATTAAAATTTAGGCGTAGAACATTATTGTATAGGTTGTTAAACGTGGTGCCTCAGTGGTCACTGGTCACAGTGCTGCTGCAGGATATGATGGACTGTACGTAGCGCCTGCTCTAGAGCATTCTGATATACCGATTTAATTACGGGGCTTCAGATAAATCCATCATACTATATACTTACTAATACTAGTAGCTGGATTGACCCAACTCTGCAGGATATTCTCCCTAAGTGCAATCACTGTAATCGACCTTTACATGCTTTATTCATTGTATTGTATGCATCTACATGAGTAGATGAAAATGTACAATAGTAATGCAATTATAAATAAGTATGAATTATATAAATAGTGATATAGTACGACTATACGCGTAAGAAAAATATATAACATATTAGGCAGAGCCCAAGTGGCTCTACCTGCTCAACTGCCAGTACACAAGTTGGTAATGGGTGCAATGGTTTATAAATGTCTGCCACGCCTCCTGCAGCTGCTTGGGGCGTAATTACACCAAGTGCACACAAAACTTAGTTAATTACCGGTGCACTTAGTAGCGAGCGCAGACGTCCCTAGGTGGCGTTAGTTGTTCTATTTCGCGAAGCGCCATTAAAACTGTCCCCAGAGTATCAGATTTCAACCCGCTCTTACAATGCACGGCGTGTCTCAACTACTGCATCGGGAACAACCCTACCGTAACACGTGATAAAGAACAGCTGTTACTTCCTTTTGGGTATTGTTTTCGCGATCTACGAGAGGTCAGAAGTGAAAATTTTTAAGGGCAAACTTTTAAACTGATTTATTTTTTGAAGTCGGCAAAGGGCGGCAAGACAAAATATATGCCATGTAGAAGAACAAGGACTAAGGTTTCTAACCAACATTTCAGGTTTTTGGGCAAATTTGGACAAATATTTTTTTTGTAATTTATTTCAACGCCTCCCCCCCTCTCGCACACGCTTGTTGACCGCAGCCAGTCGAGGTCAATTTTTACTGCGTACGCTTAACAAAAATGTTACATCGTTTGTACATCAGTTAGAAGTGATAACAACAGAGAAAATCCTGATTGTGATGAGTTTGATGGGAATCATGGTGAAATGCACTAAAAAGTTAAAGCCTGAGTGGACTTTGACAAGCTACTTTGACATAATTATTTAACTCTGAGCAGGTGTTTTCATCCGTTTTGCGGCATCAATACATTGAATAATCCTGACTCTTCTTCTTGGTTGTCTGGTTTAGCAAGGAGTTGTAACTTCTTGGGTTTAGCGTCTCTGACTGATTATAAAGGTCTTAATGGGGCCTTGACAGCTTTATTATTGATTAATTAATTTTTTTTTTTTTTTTTTTTTTTTTTTTTTTTTTTTTTTTTTTGGGTTGTTTTTTTTTTTTTTTTTTTATAACTTTTTTCCAAAAAATTTTAAATACCTT